GATGCCAGCATGCGAGGCGTACTTTTGAGAAATATCATCTAGATAAGCCTTCGCATCGGCCTCGGAGCCAAGACGAGCTGGAGGCTCCATAGTGATGGCGAGCAGAAGCGCACCGTCCTGACGGCCAGAACCGAGACCCCACCTTGTCTCAAGATATTTGCGTGCTGATGTGATGTTGAAGCCACCGGGCATCTTGGACGAAATAAGACGAGCGATAAGACCCTGGGTTGTCTTGCCTAGGTTACCATCGAAAGTAGCCTGCATAGCGGCACCCAGCTCATCGAGGGGCGTATCTTCAGGCTTCTCCGGTGTGGATCCGAACTCTTTGCCTAGATCACCAAGGATTTCGTTTTGTAGAGTAGACTTGCCTGTACGCAAACTTTGTTAGTCATTGTCATGTCGGTCAGGAACAGAATTTGGTATAATCTCACCTCCTACCAAATCCTTGATAGCCTTGCTCAAAGGAATCTCTGCAAAGGGCTTCTTGAGCTTCTGGGCGATCAATGACCTGACAATGTCAAGAGCGGGAACTGGGGCATCGGGAACTGAAGCCGCGGGGCCAGCACTCGGGGGCGGAGGAGCAGCAGCAGCAGCAGCAGCAGCCGGAGCAGCAGCGGCAGCGGGGGTGGGAGCAGCAGATGATGAGCTAGCCGCAACCGGCTCAGGCTCTTCCTCCACAGGGTCTACATCGTAGTAAATCTCCTTTGCGTCCTTGTTGTAGCAAAGAATCTGTCTCTGGATCGACTTGGCAGCGTCGAATGCTTCGTACTTGGAGGCGAGCGTCCTCCTGGCCATACCACCAAGGGTGTCGGCGGGACCGATTTCGACGACCCGCTCGGCCGTCTTCTCCGCGAGGAAGACATCTTGCGTCTCAATCCATCTCACGGGAGAGGCGAATTGGTAAGCAAGGAGCTCGACGAGTAGGGTGTGGGCGAGCTCTTGCTCAAGTTCGGGACGCATCTTGGCGGTTTGATGGGGTATAGTCTCCGAGGTCTCTGGGTGAAAAATAGGGTACGTATGGGCGGGGGGTCGGGCAGGTGAGGCGTATCCCGGGGTATAATGCAATCAGCTAGATGGCGTGCCCGTCGTCTGGCTATGTGAAAGCTGCCGATAAACAAGCAGATGATGTTAGTTTGGGGGTTGAAACAACACACGTCCGTGGATGCCAGCAAAAGCAGCAGAGAAAGGGACACGGAAGATGACCTTCGATATGTTAAAAGCCCTTATTACAGGTAAAGAGGAAGATGAGATTTGACCCAGAGAGGGGATGCAAGGACGGGGAGATAGACTGACACACCAGACACAAAAGAAAGAGAAGCCTGGAGATATGGCAGGCGGCGAAGAAGGAGCACAAGGATGTAGTGCTAAACCCCGAAGGAGCGGATCGGATGAGGAGAGGTGAATTCAAAGGGAACTGAAGGAGACCGAAGGAAGTGCGTGGACTCCGTCGAGGGGATGGTGCGCCGGGGGGGTTAGATGGCAAGGAGGGGAAGCACGATGCATACTGCGAAGGTAGGTACAGACAGGGTGGGCTCCTTCTTGTTTAATTCACCTGACTGCATTGCAATCGAAATCCCAACTTCTATTTTACACGGTACATTACATACATTGACATAGGTACTTAAGTACCGCGTGGCCGTCAAGACGACAGGAAACTTTGGACGAACTCACGCAGGGAGCTGTGTCCGTCAACTGCTGCCAGGGCATCCCCCGGGGTGCAGGCACAGTCTACTCACGCCAAACAGCATTGAGATGGGGTTTGCCGGACTGATGGATGTGCAGATTACTCGCGTCAGAGCGTCAACAACGGAATCACAGCGAGTTTCCTCTGGAAATTGATGAACCAACATTGTTTCTGGCGGCTTGTGTGGCCGGTTTGGTTCTCAATTTCACAAATGTTGAATGCCACTTTGACCCCCGCAGCCCCTGTCATTGATACAGACGCGCCTCCTCCCGCCCCTCCATTGCAGCTCAACACCCTCAACCAAAACGACCAACGCTAGCCTAATACGGTCTAGCCGACTGTCTCGTCCCTTCCCCACGACTTTTAGAGACGTGCATTGACCCCAAAAGTCTTTTCGGCCACGCTAAGATCAGCCACGTCTCGATGTCAGGCTACAAGTACCTCTACAAGGCGCGATTCAGACATTTGCGAACCTAACTCCAACTGGCCTCATTCGTCCCCCCCAACCGCCACTGCAGCTTCCCCACTTACCTTGTGGCAGCAGTCCCCTCCTTTTTTCGACGTTGCCCTCAGCCCTTCACTTTACTTGCTCTGCCCGCTGCAACACCATAGAGGTACCCGACGACCAAAGGCAGTCCAAGCAGAGGCATCACAACACCGGCAACCTAACGTTTTGATATTGCCTATATACCCGCATGAACATGTGTTTGATAGTCGCTCAGCTCCTTTGATAAAGGTGCTCAAGCTCCAGTTTTCCGCAGAATTCGTCAAAGCAGCTGCAAGGCACAATACGCTGTCTTCAGTCTCCTTTCTGCATGGCGTCATAATCATCGTCAGGTCTCGGCCGACTCAAGGCACACTGAATGGGATTAAACATCATCAAAGTTAGAGCCGTCCAGGTCGGAAGCCGGAATCTGGAGTGCCGACGGCGTCAGTCACCGGCTGATGGTCCGGAGGGACGGATACACATACAGAGCATACAAAACATTTCCGCTTCCCGCCAGCGAATCTTTCAGTCGCTCGTATTTCCCTATGGGCACGCCATGATGTCGGGTCTCTCAAGGCTGGCATGGCCTGCGCCGCTGCCCGATTTCTTTATCTAGGTAGACCAAGCTAGATACCCACCCTTGCGTTGCTTGCATTGCTACCCTCGACGTCTGATTATCAAGGTGTTGACTAGCAACAAAACAAGGGCGGCTACCTTCACAATTGGTATACACTACATAGTACATACCCGCCAGATCTCTCTTCATCTTCCCCTGGAGCATCATCGACACCTAGAAGCTTGAAGGGAGTGGGCTTGAAAGTGAAGGGGCAGAAGATTAAGATATCAGTAATCATCAACGGACCATCATTGCTCATTGATGCCACACTCTCAAAAAAAAGTTGACAAAATATTTGAAATTGCGGCGCCATTGATTGGCTTACTCGGGCTGGTTCGGGAAGCCAGTTCAAGCTTCTCCAATTCGACTCCAGTTTGACCCCATCTTGGTGGCATGGCCTCCACTACTGGAAGTTTCGGACTCATGTACTGGTACAATGCTATCTTGATCTGCGCATGGAGTAGTGGGGTTTCCGCTGTGGGCTTATGTGGACTCGGCTGGTCGGAAGAACTACTTGGGTACCACTCACCTACCTACCGAAGGTAGGTACCTCTAGCGTTCCTGCCTAGGTAGATTTTGAGTGGTCGAAGCGGCATTGGGTGCGGCGGTGCGCAATTGGCGGCGCAAGTCGCGATATTCACAACGCTGTAGAGCGAGAGCGCGATTATGGCACGCCGAGCCCCAGGCAAGCACGACGACGCTTGTACAAAGCTGTTGCGTGACCCAGAACGAAGCGTCGCTAAACGTCGCTAGTGGTGTATTAAACGTTCCCAAAAGCCCGTCAGGCGCTTCTGGACCCCGCCGGCGTCCCATTTCCATGAGCCCATTCTGCCTTTGACAGGGTCTTGGCTTGTAGGGAATGCTGGGGACGGAAGGGGTGGTGTTTGGGTGGTGTCCAGTGCGACCCAGCCGAACCCTCAGCAGTGTTCGCGACTTCCCCAACAAGAACTGGCAGAACCACTCAAAAATTTGGCGAGCACTCGCCCGAGTCGTAACGCCTCTCGTAAGCCCGCTCACAATACCGTAGATTACAGTCAGGGGTAGGAGCGTGGCTGCCCACTGCGCCCAATGTCATGTAAGAATGGTAATTGATAGGCACCGATAAGGCCCCTGGTGAAAATTATTCTCAGGTCCCTCCCCTCCGTGCCCCTCGCCAAGACGAGGCAGGGGAAGGTACGAATTACCTTACACCCCGCCATCTTATAGTCGTACACCTCGAGTGTGCCTGGATATTACAGGCACAGCCCAGCATGTATTTTGCGTCTCTCACCAAAACATTGAGCCCTTCTTCACCCGCCGCTGCCTTGATCTCCGCTGTGAAGTTCTACAGTACCCTCTGGCCAACCCGTCAAAAGTCCGGATCGTATCTCCTCAGTAGTCTAGGTCGGTAAATAATTGCCTGACCTATAACTCTGCCTCAGCTCCAGCACCGGGTATCGTCAACTGTACTCTCTGCTCGTCGTCCTGGTAGGCAAGACAGACACCATCAAGATATTCCCCGGACACTGGGAAGTGCGAGTTCCACTTGACTCGTGAACGGAAGAGACCAAGGACGAACTTGGATACCTCTACACCTGTATGTACTGTAAGCCCATGTACTGAACGCGCATCTGTTCCATCCCGGCCCTTTCGCCTTACTCTTATTTTCTGTCCTCCTCCCCCCTCAGTCCCGACTCCTCCTTCCTTGCCTCTCCCCACCTGCCTCTCGTCTGCTCTCATCTCTCCCCTCGCCTCTTCCTCGTCGAGCCCCTTTCTTCCCTCTAGAGGCACATCCCCAAGCCGTATACCCAACGCTACCTGCCTCCATCTTCCCCTAGAGTTTGCTTGGGACAGGATCAGGTCCTTTCAAGCTTCAAGTTTTACTTCTTTTTGAGTCTTCTGTTCCCCGGATTCCACCCTTCCATCCTCTCCGGAACCCTGACTCTGATCCTGCTGTGCCAGACCAGTAAGACAACGACGACATTGACGACGACGGTTTTGTCATTGGCTTCCCCCCATTACTGAAGCCTCATCCACACCAATTATCCAGCCTCAAGTGGCTTTCTATATCGAAGCACCTTTAGCTCCCGCTCTTTGCTGAGTTTCGGAGCCATTGCACCAAGTAAGGATGTTTTCAGACTCCGGTTCTTGTTCTTCAGCCGTGATTAGTAAATGCTAACCGGACACCCTGTCTTTCAGCTTTCTAGCCGTCTCTCAGATACCCATTCACAACCATGTACGGTACCGGTACCGGCGCTCAGACGGGCGTCACCACCCCCAGGTCGTCTGCCTCTCTGCGGCCGCTCACCCTCTCTCACGGGTCCCTCGAAACCTCTTTCTTGATACCCACCGGCCTTCATTTCCACGCAACTCAGCTAAAGGAGCGGTTTGCTGCTATCCTTCCCGCCCCTACCGACGAGCTCGCGCAAGATGACGAGCCCTCGTCCATTTTCGAGCTTGTTGCCAGATACATGGGTTTTATCGCGACCGAGGTGGCACAAGGCGAGGACGACGCTCAGGGTTCATACGAGGAGGTACTCAAAATCATCCTGAACGAGTTCGAGAGGGCGTTCCTGCGGGGCAACGATGTCCATGCCCTGGTCTCTACAATGGAGGGAATCGACGACAAGAAGCTCGAAGTCATTCGCTGCTACTACCTTGCGCGATCAGCCAGCAACAGAGCCATCAAGCCTTACGAGTCGGCTCTGTTCCGTGCCGCTGGTGAAAACGCGGCCAAGATCTTCACCATCTTTGGTGGCCAAGGAAACATCGAGGAGTACTTCGAAGAGCTCCGGGAGCTGCACCACACCTATCCGGCATTCGTCGGCGAGCTGATCACCACATCCGCCGAGCTGCTCCAGACCCTGTCCAGCCACCCTGATGCCGAGAAGATGTACCCCAAGGGCCTTGACGTGCTTGGTTGGCTTCAGAGCCCAGAGGCCACCCCCGACGTCGACTACCTTATCTCTGCCCCCGTCAGCTTCCCCTTGATTGGTTTGGTACAGCTGGCACACTATCAGGTCACCTGCAAGGTGCTGGGTGTGCATCCCGGCGTCCTTCGTGAGAGAATCAGCGGAACGACAGGTCACTCTCAAGGTGTTGTCCTTTCTGCTATCACTGCGGCCGCGGATTCGTGGGAAAGTTTCGAGGAGCATAGCAAGGCTGCCTTGACCATCCTCTTCTGGATCGGCGCTCGTAGCCAGCAAACCTTCCCTAGAACTTCCCTAGCCCCCTCGATGCTTCAAGACTCGGCTGATAATGGCGAGGGTGTTCCTACCCCCATGCTCAGCATCCGAGACCTTCCCCAAGCCGAGGTTCAGAAGCATATCGATCAGACCAATGCCTACCTCCCTGAGGATCAGCATATTTCCATTGCTTTGATCAACAGCCCCCGGAACATGGTCGTTGCCGGGCCTCCCAGCTCTCTGCACGGTCTCAACTTGCAGCTGAGAAAGCTCAAGGCTGCTACTGGTCTTGATCAGACCAGAATCCCCCACACCGAGCGTAAGGTTCGGTTCGTGAACCGTTTCCTGCCCATCACTGCTCCTTTCCACAGCAAGTACCTCGCCAAGGCTTCCGACCTGATTGCCGAAGACCTCAAGGACGTTCAGATTGACTCTCGGACCCTGGGTATGCCCGTTTATAACACTTTCACGGGCAAGGATCTTCGGGAGGAAGTTGAGGGCAACATTGTTCCTTCCCTTATCCGCATGATTACGGGCGAGACCGTCCACTGGGAGAAGGCTACCGTTTTCCAGGATGCCACCCATATCCTCGATTTTGGCCCTGGCGGTATCTCCGGCCTCGGCATTCTGACTAGCCGTAACAAGGAGGGTACCGGCGTTCGCGTCATCCTTGCTGGCACGGTGAACGGAACTGTCACTGATGTTGGCTACAAGCCCGAGTTGTTCGACCGTGACGAGGAGCAGGCAGTCAAGTTTGCTGTGAACTGGGTCAAGGAATACGGTCCTAGACTGGTCAAGAACTCTGTTGGTCGTACATACGTTGATACCAAGATGAGCAGACTTCTTGGTCTCCCGCCCTTGTTGGTCGCTGGTATGACTCCTACCACTGTGCCTTGGGACTTCATTGCTGCCACCATGAATGCTGGCTATCAGATCGAGCTTGCTGGCGGTGGCTACTACAATGCCAAGACCATGACCGAGGCCATCTCTAAGATTGAGAAGGCTGTTCCTGCTGGTCGCGGTATCTGCGTCAACTTGATCTATGTCAACCCTCGCGCCATGGGCTGGCAGATTCCCCTGCTTGGCAGGCTCAGAGCTGAGGGCTATCCCATCGAAGGTCTCACCATCGGTGCTGGCGTTCCTTCCATCGAGGTCGCGCAGGAGTATATCGAGACTCTGGGACTCAAGCACATCTCTTTCAAGCCTGGTTCGGGTGAGGCTATCCAGGCCGTCATCAACATCGCCAAGGCCAACCCTACCTTCCCCGTGATTCTCCAATGGACCGGTGGCAGAGGTGGTGGTCATCACTCGTTTGAGGATTTCCATCACCCCATCCTCAACCTCTATGGTCGCATCCGCCGCCAAGAAAACATTATTCTCGTTGCCGGTAGCGGTTTCGGAGGTGCTGATGACACTTACCCCTACCTCACTGGTGACTGGTCCATCAAGTATGGCTATCCCCCCATGCCCTTCGACGGCTGCATGTTCGGTAGTCGTATGATGGTCGCCAAGGAAGCCCACACCAGCCTGGCTGCCAAGCAGGCTATCGTTGACGCTCCTGGTCTGGACGACAGTGACTGGGAGAAGACCTACAAGGGCCCCGCTGGCGGTGTCATCACTGTCCGCTCTGAGATGGGTGAGCCCATTCATAAGCTCGCCACTCGTGGTGTCCGCTTTTGGGCTGAGATGGACCAGAAGATCTTCAGCCTTCCCAAGGAGAAGAGGGTCGCTGCTCTTAAGGCTAGCCGTGATTACATCATCGAGAAGCTCAACAAGGACTTCCAAAAGGTCTGGTTTGGTCAGAACAAGGAGGGTAAGGCCGTTGATCTTGAGGACATGACATATGCTGAGATTGTTCGCCGCCTGGTCGAGCTTCTCTACGTCAAAGATGAGGCTAGGTGGATCGATCAGTCGTACACCAAGCTTACTGGTGACTTTATCCACCGCATTGAGGAGCGATTTACCACCACGCCTGGCCAGCCTTCCAGACTCCAGAGTTATGCTGACCTCAAGGAACCCTACTCTGCTGTTGAGCAGATTCTCTCGCACTATCCCGAGGCCGAGAAGCAACTCATCAACGCTCAGGATGTCCAACATTTCCTGCTGCTCTGCCAACGTCGTGGACAGAAGCCGGTCACCTTTGTGCCTGTTCTCGATGAGAACTTCGAGTTTTTCTTCAAGAAGGATTCGCTTTGGCAGTCGGAGGATCTTGCGGCTGTCGTTGGCAAGGATGTCGGCCGTACCTGTATTCTCCAGGGTCCCATGGCTGCCAAGCACGCTACCAAGGTGGACGAGCCCATCAAGGACATCCTCGACGGAATTCACAACGGTCACATCGCCTTGCTCACCCGTGATATGTATGGCGGCGATGAGAGCAAGATCCCTACCATTGAGTACTTTGGTGGTAAGCTGATCGAGTCAGAAATTCCTCTCGATATCGAGGGTCTTACTGTCTCCTATGATGAGCACAAGAACACCTATCGTCTGTCCTCATCGCCTTCCGTTCAACTTCCTTCGCTGGACGCCTGGCTTTCGCTTCTCGCCGGACACCAAAGAAACTGGCGTTTCGCCCTTCTCCAGTCCGACGTCCTCGTCCAAGGACAAAAGTATCAGACCAACCCCATGCGCCGCATCTTTGCGCCGGCTCGTGGTCTGTTTGTCGAGATTCTACACCCGAATAACCCCGAAAAGACGGTCATTCTCGTTAAGGAGCAGCCACGCCCCAACCGCTACGCTGATGTCATTGAGGTCAAGCTGGACGGCAAGAACGAGATTGTTGTCAACATGATCAAGGATACCACGGCCCTCGGAAAGCCAGTGCCCCTCACTCTCAAGTTTATCTACAACCCTGAGGCTGGCTACGCTCCTATTCACGAGGTTATGGATGGTCGCAATGATCGCATCAAGGAGTTCTACTGGCGCGCGTGGTTCGGCGATGAGAAGCTTGACCTCGATTCCTCCGTTCATGAAGTCTTCGACGGCGGCAAGACCACCATCACCAGCGAGGCCATCAATGAGTTTGTTCACGCCGTTGGCAACACCGGAGAGGCCTTCGTCGACAGACCCGACAAGGTCATGTATGCTCCCATGGACTTTGCTATTGTTGTTGGCTGGAAGGCTATCACCAAGCCTATTTTCCCTCGCACCATCGACGGTGACCTGCTCAAGCTCGTCCATTTGTCCAACCAGTTCCGCATGATGCCTGGTGCTGAGCCCCTCAAGAAGGGCGACGTGGTTTCGACTACTGCTCAGATCAACGCTGTCATCAACCAGGAGTCTGGAAAGATGGTCGAGGTCTGTGGTACCATCACTCGTGACAGTGAGAAGGTCATGGAGGTTACTTCGCAGTTCTTGTATCGTGGTACCTACACCGACTTCGAGAACACATTCCAGCGCAAGGTGGAGACCCCTATGCAGCTTCATCTTGCCACCTCCAAGGACGTGGCCGTCCTTCGCTCCAAGGATTGGTTCATGATGGATGATGTTGAAAACCCTGACATTGAGCTTCTCGGCCAGACCCTCACCTTCCGTCTCCAGACCTTGGTTCGCTTCAAGAACAAGACTGTCTTCAGCCACGTGGAGACCCAGGGCCAGGTTCTTCTTGAGCTCCCGACCAAGGAGATTATCCAGGTTGCCACTGTCAACTACTACGCTGGAGAATCTCACGGAAATCCCGTCATCGACTACCTCCAGCGTCATGGTTCCTCCATTGAGCAGCCGATCAACTTTGAGAACCCTATCCCTCTGAGCGGAAAGACCCCCCTCCAACTCAAGGCGCCCTCGTCCAACGAGACTTATGCCCGCGTCTCCGGTGATTATAACCCCATTCACGTCTCCCGTGTCTTTTCCAGCTATGCCAACCTTCCTGGCACCATCACTCACGGCATGTACTCGAGTGCCGCGGTGCGCAGCTTGGTTGAGACCTGGGCTGCCGAGAACAAGGTTGGCCGCGTTCGCAGCTTCCACGCCTCTCTTACCGGCATGGTTCTTCCCAATGATGACATCAATGTGAAGTTGCAGCACGTCGGCATGGTTGCTGGCCGGAAGATTATCAAGGTTGAGGCTAGCAACAAGGAGACCGAGGAAAAGGTGCTCCTGGGCGAGGCCGAAATTGAGCAGCCTATCACCGCTTACATCTTCACCGGCCAGGGTTCGCAGGAGCAGGGCATGGGTATGGATCTTTATAACAGCAGCCCTGTGGCCAAGGCTGTCTGGGATCGGGCTGACAAGTATCTCATGGACACTTATGGTATGTCCCTTACTTTTGTCTTTTTGTTGATTCCAATGCTAACAAGTCTATAGGCTTTGCCATCACCAACATTGTCCGGAACAACCCCAAGGAGCTCACCATTCACTTTGGTGGCCCTCGTGGCAAGGCCATCCGCCAGAACTACATGTCCATGACTTTCGAGACTGTGGCTGCCGATGGCTCGATCAAGTCGGAGCGCATGTTCAAGGAGATCGACGAGAAGACTACCTCTTACACTTACCGCTCACCCAACGGTCTTCTCTCGGCTACCCAGTTCACGCAGCCCGCTCTTACTCTAATGGAAAAGGCCAGCTTTGAGGACATGAAGGCCAAGGGACTTGTGCCCCGTGATAGCACCTTCGCTGGTCACTCTCTTGGCGAATACTCTGCGCTAGCTGCCCTTGCCGATGTCATGCCCATCGAGTCCCTCGTGTCCGTCGTCTTCTACCGTGGTCTCACCATGCAAGTCGCTGTCGAGCGCGATGAGACAGGCCGCTCCAACTATGGCATGTGCGCTGTCAACCCTAGCCGTATCAACAAGACTTTCACCGAAGAGGCCTTGCGGTTCGTGGTCGGTAGCATCGCAGAGACCACCGGATGGCTTCTTGAAATCGTCAACTTCAACGTCGAGAACATGCAGTACGTCTGTGCTGGCGACTTGCGTGCGCTCGACACCCTTGGCGGTGTGTGCAACGCTATCAAGATGATGAAGATCGACATTGAGAAAATGCGCAAGGAATACTCTGCCGAGACTGTCAAGGAGCAGCTGGTCGAGATCATCAAGTCGTGCGCCAACGACACTCAGGCTAAGCCCACTCCCCTCGTTCTCCAGCGTGGCTTTGCAACCATCCCGCTCCCCGGTATCGATGTGCCCTTCCACTCGACCTTCCTGCGCTCTGGTGTCAAGCCTTTCAGAAGCTTCTTGCTCAAGAAGATCAACAAGACTACCATCGACCCATCGAAGCTTATTGGCAAGTACATTCCCAACGTGACTGCTAAGCCATTCGCGATCACCAAGGAGTATTTCGAGGATGTCTACCGGTTGACGAACTCCCCTAAGATCCAACAGATCTTGGCAAACTGGGATAAGTACCAGGAGGAGGGTGTCAGTGGAATCCCTGATGCGGAGTAACCGGTTTGTATGTTGAGGGGAACAAGGACAGCATGGCGGCGTTCGAGAGAGGAAAATTACTGGTATTGAGGCGGTGGGAATGTCTTCATGGATTATTTTGTTTTGTTCGCCGTGGTTTTTTTTTCCATGTGTTATAATCATTTTTTCATCATGGTTTTAGGCGTTTTAGACGATGTACTTTCGGCACGGAAAATATGTCAAGCATAGAAGGCAAATCAACAATGTTCGCTGAACGACGGTGCCCCCACCTGAGCGCTGTGAATCACCTCGCACACTATACTCATCTGTATGACCCTGCGTTCGTTGTTCCCAACTTGTCTTCCGGGCCCGTAAAGTCTGGCTGGTGCTGCAGCCATGACAAAATATCAAGAGTGATGAGCAGAGGGGTCAAGGTCAAGGCCCATTAAAGAGATGAGGAGCGGAATGGAGAATGCTTTGCAGGTACGACTCTGCAAGTGTACCGTGAGAATGAGAAGGAAGATATAAGAAAGGAAGATGCCAGAAAGTGAATAGAATTGACTGCGAGAAGGAACGGTGAAGCTACGGCGGGCCCGAGCATCGAAATGAGAAGGAGAAGGAGAAGGAAGCTCGTCAAGAGCAATTTCTACGTTGTCAAGAGCACGATTTGCATCTTGTAGAAAACATCAACACAATATCAACTACACCATATCGACAGATTGTCAAGCAGCAAAAGAGGATCAGTTATCGCTCTCCCGCCATAACAACCTTCAGCTTGGAATAATATCTCGTCAACGAACCAACTCCGGTCATCACGAGTGCGCATTCACGAAACATCACGGAAAAGTATATCGATTCGAGCATTATCATTGCGCGCGGTCTCGGCCATTATCTGCGACGAACCCCTTGGAAAGAACACTGGACCTTTTCTATCCCCGTAAGTACCCGATGATCTTGACTGGGGATCATGCTACGCAGCGCTAACGCTGAGTCATACCAGACTTACTTTCCGGCCATGAACCAAGAGGCAACCAGGAAAAACGACGAACTTCAGCGGCGCAGATGGGCTCTCGGCAAGATACATGCGTTCAAACAATCACTTGGCGAAAATCAACATAACCCTTCGCCAGGCTACGCGCTCAACAAGGAGCCTGGGTATGCAAAGGTGGTTAGTTTTATAAAGACCATGACACGTAACTTCTGGAACTCGCCAGACCTTGTAGAGGCTCACAAGTGGTCGATGGCGTAGGGATGCCTGTTTCCCGTGGACCGGTTCAATGATGAGCTTCTGCGGTCTGTGAAGGAGCAATTGCCGAGTGTCTTTGAGGAGGCATTACTCTGCCATCTTGAAGCCTGGGAAGAGTGGGTCAAACAGATGATGGTTCATTGCGCGCAATACTTGGACTACCGGCTTGCTCGGCTGAAGCAACACCAGGAGATGGTGGAAGCGATAAAGGGAGATGACCGAGCCCCTGGGCCTGAAACCGATGGCGAAGGAGACGAGATAGCAGAAGGATATGAGAAAGCACAAACATTGGCGAACTAGAAAACAGAGGAAAGTATGGAGAAGGGAAAGAGTACTAACTGTTCATACCGTAGCACCAGCGGTGGCTTGCTTTTGAATACAATATTTCAGCGCTGAAGATCGGTTTGATAACGCGGTTCTGGTGATGACACTGCTTTTTGCCTCGTCGGACTATTTCGCGGGTTTGCATCCGCTGTTCACTCTTCAATATGCTCATGAAACTATCACGTAAATTCTTGATAACTTCAAGGTCACCTAGCTCGACAATTGAATCTATGGGTACGGCGATGTATTTACAACTGGATTACCAGGTCCATTGTTGCGTCATCTCACTACAGTTGTGTGCACCCGTACTTTCGCCGCAGCGTTCTTCGAACTGTCGGTCTCGTCAATGCTTGAACGAAGACATTGCAAGGCCAAACAAGGCATGGAAGGCACAACACTGCATATTTTGATATTTTTTCTTTCATATAACGCCGACATGTGGGCTTTATACAGTCGGCCCGCTCTCCAGCCCTCCAACTACATATATGACTATACATTCGTCATGCTGGAGCTCTCACCATATTCAATAACTTCGGACACCCAACAGGAGATCATCTCTAAAACTTCTGGGGGGCTTCGGGTGTCTTTGGGGAACACGATCGGAAGTCGGAACCTCGGAGCACCAGTACATACGTCGCTGTATGACTAAAACCGTTATGTGTCTCTGCCCAGTCCCAGGTTCTACAAACCACGCCGTAAACCGGAGCATCGCCGTTTGAGAACTCCAATGGAGTTGATTTAGTATTTCGAATGTGTTCAATATTGAGGATAGCACCGAGAGAAACCGAAGAGAAATGGGAGCAGAAATAAAACGAGAAGCAAAACAATAACAACGCCTCCAGGAACCACAGGTCAGCCTGGCCAGAGACGGCTTGTCATTATGCCTTACTGGCCCACATGCTCTTTTATCTACTTCCGTGGCACAAATCAGCGTCGTCGACTGTCCCTGAAGCCTGGAGGCCGGGAGGTTGCGTGTGACTACTGTGCAGAGCAGATGATGTCCGTTCCTGTTTCTTGATACTAACTTGCGCATTTCCTTCCTTCCATTCAGCTCTCTTCTTGTTCATTTCTGGGTATCCAAGCTGGGATGGCTGAGCTGAGGGAGGGAGAAAAGAAAAAGAAAAAGCCAAGGAAGCACAGACACTTTAGCCATACATACCTGTCTGAGAATGTCTCATTTTCCCTGTAAACATCAAGGGGTTTTCATGCTCCTGCGGGTAAGGAGGTGTCTAGAAAGACATGTGAGGTCTCGGGATGCCATGTGGCAGATTTTAAGCATGTCTTTTCAGAAAAAAGCAACAAAGGATTTCCAGGCTGAAGACTGAAAGGCCTTACACAGCGTCTCTCATAGTTTATGCATCATATAATGCAATATGTGCCTCACGATATGTACGATTAATGTCATCACGCGACACTAATGCTGGGGTGAATGAAGGGTACAACAGTCCCGATGTGTACAGAGCACGGCTATGGAAACGGGACATTTGTATACAAAAAACTAGAAGAATTATGCTGTATGTTGGGTCGAAGGAATGAACGAATAGCCAACTGCAGGGTGCTGCAACGGCAGCAGCAGCAATGAACGCATGTAGCATACCTTATTCTGTATGGGGAACACTAGCTAGAGAAGAAAGGTAGGTATTAGACAAACCTGAAAGACATGCCTGATTGACAGCAATTTGTCTTGAACGGAGAACTTGGTAATCGACGATTGACATAGCTCCTCAAAGCTGATTGCACATCCATGACATAGGCGGCGTTCCCGGAGGAGTGTACAGAAGCCATCAATGGGCCATCGACGCACGCTGAGTGTTAGGGGAACTCGCAATAACTGATTGACCGATATTATACGAGGGAGTGAACAAGTTCGAAAACGGGAACATGGCTTTGAAGAGAAGTTCGTGCAGCATGACTGTCACCAACTGTGACATCCGTTACTTGATGAACGCTCAGCCCACGTAATCACGGAATTACAACTTCTGAGCCGGGACCGGTCCCGGAACCGGCGGAACCGGAACCCGTCGGAATATACGATCGATATCAGACGAACTGTTGGAGTCTTCCAAGTGAGACAACGTGACGACTCCCCATGGGACCCGGGGAACTGGTTGTTGGGGGGTTGAACAGTAGGGATGAAAGTCAAAACTCAAAAGGCCTAGCCCAGAATTTCCCATAAGTCCCGTCATTGCGGGTGCGCGCAAACGTCCGTCGTCGTCCGTCCCTGTCGGAAGAAGGCCCCCCATGTTATCGGAAACCATCATCAGCCCTGCCTGCCTGCCTGCCTGCCTGCGCCCCTGTGCATTTGAAGACGCATTGGAAGGCAAGAACAACACATCAATCAATGGAATTAATGAATTGGCAAGCCACTCACCGAACCAATCTTTTGCTCCTATTTTCAATGCCGTGGAACATACCCATGAAGCACATAGTACATTGATTGCATGGTATCTGCTCAGTTTCCCCAGGATTTCAATTAGAATAGTCGTACTTTCCCATGGGCAACGAAAATGTGTCAACTGGACGCAATGCCCCCCCCCCCCGCAGTTTCTACAAGTACATGTATCAGTTTCCGACCGACGGGATTCGGTCACATAGGATACCGACATTCTGGTAGGCTGTATGAGCATCCGGAGGTTGATACTGCTTTTTTTTTTTTTTTTATGTAGCATTGAGAGACCTCAGACCGAAAAGCAAAAAAGTTGGATTTACTTCTTGCTAGACCTGATCACCACAACGTACATAGGTAGGTAACCACGATAGCTACGGGCACCATCGCCATCAACAGTTGCACCTACTTATCGCCCAGATACCAAAAATATCGACAGGCGAACTCAGCCTTACCTAGTCAAACTCACGTCAATCACTTTGTAAAAGCTGGTCATCAGGCTCACTCATCCTCACCTAAAATATGTACGTCTAAGCCGCATTCCGCTGTTGCGATTGCGATGGCATCCAAATAAGCCCAAGCCCCCCCTGCTTGGCAATTCTGGGGATCGTCGGGCGGTGAGTGATAAGTTCAGTGTCAAAAAGTCAATACACTACACTACACTAGTCAGTTAGTGATTTTCAACTTACATATTGGGCAAACCGACATCCAGAACTCTGAATGGTTCGCTGTTTCCCTCCCAACAACGTTTTGCACAACCCAAACCGGGCGAACCGAACGGAAGAGGTTCCAAAGTGTGGGTACGGCTCCCGCAATGTTTCGTTTCGTTTCGTTTCGTTTCGTTTCGTCACAGTCAAGGTTTTAGTGGGAAATGGAGAGACGCGGGCCGTCCCCTGTTTTTCCCTTTCTTTCGTTTCCTTGTTCCGTCTTCTTCTGTCCTCTACACCACTTTTTTTTTTTTTTTTTTTTTTTTTTTTTTTTTTTTAATCCTTCCTTCGCGCTAGTGTTTCAAAAGCCACAGCATACTCCGCCATCATCCACCGCCTTCCTGCGCTCCCGACTGGGCTGACGACTTAAAGACGGTCCCTTCACGTCACTTGAGTACCACCTCAGTTCCGCTGTAGATCTCACCGGTTCTCACCGAGTTTTCGCAAAGGGTCTTGTCTTACTTGGCTCTCTCTCCGCTGCTATGACGAGCGATAGGTGGATCCGAATACCTACCCTCTATGCTTCAGTACCGACCCCGAATTCTGCCTGATTTGTGTGCGTGTTCTAGACCTGCGTCTATCAGATTAGCGGCTTGTGTGTACTGGCCATTCAGCGGTGCCATGTCCCGTGACTTTTTTTTGACCAGCTCACGGTGTCAAAGCGAGATGCAGAGAGAATGAAAGCCAGTTGGTAAGTAGAAATGGTCAATTTAAACACCAGACATTATCGTATTTCGATGTTTTCCACTATATGCTATACATCCCATCAACTCGACTCGTTCTTCATCTTTCCAACTCTGCATCCTCCTGTTTTCTTCTTCTCTCTCCCGCATCCGCCTCCCCCAGTTTTCGTTTTGCCGAAACGTTGATATGCCACCTGGGACCAGCCCAGTGCGTGCACTACCGCCCGATCGGTATACAAGAAGAAGAGAATATCCAGTGACCAAACCCGGGAACCAGTCCATCGTGATTTAGAAAGTTGGTAATAGTAATACCATGTTGTTTCTTGAAGAAGAAAAAAAAAAAAAAAAAAAAAAAAAAACAGTATGTCGCAGCAGTTAACCAGCAACCGTGCTTCGTTGTGTGCCATTCCATCTCTAAATGTTGAACGAAAGTAAAGTGCAATGCTGATTCCTAATGTCATAACCATAAGATCGTAAGATAGAAAAGCAAGAAAGCCGGCCCATGGCAATACGTCGCTCACGTCATCTGACTCGAGCCACCACAGAAAGAGAAAAAGAAATTGAGGAAAAAGAAATTGAAGAAAAATGAACACCGCGCATATGCATGTAATCTGGGTTTCCAGATTCTTCTCGAAAGATATAAAAAAAAAGATTGAAACGCAATGCTTGATCCTCCCGCTTTTCATGATAAATCGTAGGTAAAAATCAATTGTGATAACGCCAAAACTCGCTCAATATCGTAACGCGTAAGAAAATGGTGAACGTAAAACAATAAAAGAAAGCCGATGTGAATCGCAAAGTTTATCGTTGATACTGACAAAGGAGATTGAACCGGTGAGGACCGCAATAACCATTGGTGAAGTGAAAAACATTGTTTAGCAGGCTGCTATGGGTTGATCAAGCCGCATCGGAGTAGGTTGGTGAGATTGAGTTTGCGAGTGCCGCCGACCGAACACGTGCTGCATGATGGATCGTGGGCTGGCGTCAATACTAGGAAGGCTGACGGTCTTGTGGGTCAATGGCACGGGGATGCGATGGACCTTCCTGGAGGTCTGCCACTTCTCCTTGATGCAATCGTCGACAAGAGCCATGAGGCCAGAAGCCATGATAACACTAGTCAAACATGATTAGAGGATGTCCAATCTTCCTTTTACCGGGTATGTGGAAAACTTACTCAGCAACATCGGTAACAGCATCAATGATCGTCTCATCAGCGATCCACATGAAGCATGGGGGAACCCACCCGCCAGCGCGCTCGTCGGCATCAACCTGAGCGGGCGATCGAGTCTCGGGAACAATGTGGGCGACCGGGGCGCTGAGGTTTCCGTCGCGGATGAGGTGGAATGAAACTTGACCCCCCATCTGTTTGTCGACAGAACGCTTCCAAGCATAGTTGTGACCCCACCACTCAAACTCGTACCGCTTGTTGTTCTTACCACCGCGGCGGTGCACATCAACACGGGCATAGTTGCTGAATTCAAGCTTGATGGTGTTGGTGGGAACGGCACGGTGCGTCTTGCCCTTGGAACTGAGAGACATGCGCGAAGAGTTGCTGTGGTTGCACAACTCATCGTCACCGTAGCACGAGTCGCTGGTGTTGGGTCGGCTGGAGCAAATAGATGCAGCACCAGACGTTGGTGTGCGCCGGAGGACGGGCTTGGACTTGGTCGCAGCACTGAGCGTCTTGATGGCCGTCGACATTGAGCGCTTCAAGTTGGGGCGATCGTGGTGGCTCTTGTTGACATCATCCCTGGAGGCAGCCCTAGACTTGGCCTTGGCCGCCGTTGACGACTCGGCGTACTTGCGCTTCGAGTTGCAGACCTCGCGCCCGGAGTCACGGCAGTACCGGCGCAGAGAGAATTCGCGCTTGGCCAAGTCGTACATGCGCAGATGGAAGAGTTGATAGACGGTTCTTCTGCGGCCAGTGACGACAGTGTCGATGCGCAAGTTCATGTTCCCGTCCGACGTGTATTCATCGTGACGGATGGAGAGACGGTTGAGCGAGGGGAAGAGCTTGGCGAAATCCTGAGGGGTGGTTGCCCGGACGTTGGGTTCCACAAGTTCACGGCGGTACGTGGGGAGCGGCGGGATGCTGGTGTCCTCGGCCTCCACCACGGGTGATTCGTCATCAAGGTCCATGGCGTCGAGATCCTGAGATGAGGCTGTCGTGGAGGCGTAGGTCTCTACCGAGGAACGGGGGTAGAGCGAAGTGGCTGGGCTGACATCGTCCTGGTAGACATATGGCTTGGGTTGCGAGTGGTGGTAAGAAGAGGGAGTATACAGGTCTTCCTCCGGCCTTGTCGACGTGCCCATAGCCTTGGGGTCTGAGAAGTAGTGGTCCTGAGTGGAATAGAGCGAAGTAGGGGCGGTAGAGTGAGTGAGGTGGGACTCGAACGAGTCGTGGCTCTGCTGGTGAGAGTGGCCACTGGAAGTGCTCTGGCTCGAGCCTTGTCTTCTATGACTTGACGACATTGTTGTGGATGTATGGGCTGGCTATGTGTTGTGAAGTTAAGAAGTGAAGAGGAATGAACGTTCAACGTTGCGGTCTGATTGTGTGAATGGAGATGTGGGGAGGAGGGGTCAGAGCAGAAGCGGTCGTGGGACGGGACGGGAGCACTCCAAGACTTATATCAAAAGGCCTCATGTTGCGTGAGAGTCGGAGATGGCTCCCGGGGCGTGGGGCCCAAGAGGCAGGACGGGGCCAGGACGGGGAGAACGGGTCGCCGGTAGGGTGGGCAAAGTGGGTTGTGGGTTGGGCCGATTCTCTTCAGTCCACTTGTCAGACTCGAACTTTGCTGGAGTGTACAAGCGTGGTGGACTGGGCCAGGGGATACAGGGGACGTCAGTGGAAGACCCGTGAGAAAGCAGTGGGAGGCAGGGGCACCGGATGGGATTGGCGACTGCGAATGGCTCCAAGTGTCTTTTCAGAGTCTGCTGCATACGACGAGCCGGGGCTGCGACGTGCAGACCAAAGAGTGTCGAGATACGTAGTCGGTGTTTTCGGTAACAAACTGCCGCTTGGCTCGAATTGTTGCTCACTCATTTTCTCATCCTCCCTTTCGCACCAGGCCTGTTTGGGCATTAAACGCGGGGAGATGCGTTTTAAATGGGCAGACCTGTTGGCATCGTCTGTCTCGCCCGCTCTGTTGGTGTGAGAGTGCCGTTGTCAGAAGCTCTTTTGGACTGGCATTTGACTCGTCAGCCCGGACAGAGTAGCGTGGAGCGAATTGTATAAAGAGGAGGCGGGGACAATATCGATATCGGAGACAATGTTGAAGCTGCAGCAAGCAGTGGAGAGGGCAAGATCATGATGGTGATAATGATGATGAGCATGTAACAAGGAGATCCTCAACAACCTTCACTCCTACCTATCTTGCAACGGTGACTGGGCAACCAAAGCACAATCAGAGAACAAGACCGGCTACGGCATCCATTGAACTGCCTGTACACTCACTCGTACACACAGCCGCAGAGCCGGTACACTTTGAGGTTGTACCGTGTTATGACGCCGAAATACTCAGAGAACTCACTGCCAAGACAACAAACAACAGGACCTGGATCAAGACATGGGCACAACAGCCTGCAACATCGAGGCCCATCTCTCTGGGGATCGAAGGCTCCCCATTTTTACTGTCTCGAACCCGTCACAATGGGCTTTCTTTTCGCCATCTGTCTCGAGGGGATCTGGGTTGTCTGACAACGAGGACGACGACGACGACGAGCACACCACCATCTGATCTGGATCATGGACTTGTCCCAGAACGGTTCCCCATTTATTGGGGCAAAGGGCGACTGGCGATGAAGGGTAGTTCGGTAGTGTAAAAGATAGAGCGCACATTCAGCAGCAACCCAATCGGCGCAAAGACGTCGTCGCGGTGGGTGATGTTCTAGTCGGGCCTCGCAGGTCGGCTAAAATAAATCAGAAAGGACTCGGATCAGGGCATAGTGAGTGGCCAGAAAATGGCCCGTCAGCCATTGGCGAAGCACCTTTGCTTTGATTGGCTTGTCTGCACTGCCTCCAGGCGGACGAGGTTGCACTTCTACTTCTGCAGTGGTGGAGCGATTGCGAGACTGCTTGGTTAGCATGCCAAGACCCGAGGATGGTCTGTTAGTAAATGTATGGAGAGAAAGGCGAGATAGCTAACACGTATACAGACAGATCAGCATGCGGTCTTGTCGTGCGTCAAATTCTTGCAGTAGAGCGAAGCCATGACAGCAGCGGAAATCCACCCGTGCGGTGTTCCGACCAGTGCCAACAAGCCTCGGGGTCTGTCAGTTCGTGCCAATTCGGTGCCAACATCCCACCTTCTCCCGCGCACATGCACCCTGTCGGCACCTTGATGGCTTCTCGACGTGCGAGGTGGGCTGTTGAAACGACGCTACTTACTCTAGAGACAAAAGGTTGACGAGAAGGAAGGAAGGGACACGCACGCCACGGCCACGAGAGAAAGACCTCGACCGACTGTCTCAGTAAAAGTCAAGGAAAAAAGGAAAGAGGAATTCCGTTCATGGCGGCTGCTCCCCTCTCTTTCACATCAGTTCCTTCCCAAAGTAGAGCTCGAGAAAAGTTGGGGTTATTCAGTTCCCACCTGCCCGAGGTGATACTACCCCGAGATAGTGCAATCTACACCAGACTGGACATCATGCCTTCCCCATTTGATGGGTTTCCCCGAAGGTACCTAGATATTGGGAAAGAGCAAATGATTCAGGCTGTGTTTTTGTCGGTGGTCAGACAACCTGCTAGGTAAGCACACTCACTTTTCTCTTCTTGCACCTTCTGAAGATGCTACACAAAATCTGTTGGTTGTACGGGCTTGGGCTCACATCAGCTCCCGTCAGCTGCCAACGAGCATGTAAAAAATAAGAGAGTGTGTCAAGTCTGACAGGCTTTTCTATCGATCATTTCTCCCTGTTTGTTAGTTAGTGTACATGGATCACTTCGGCAGTGGATGCGTCCATCGCGTTTCGGTTTCATCCCGCCTGGATCATGGCATGCACAGACTGCAGACTCCGTAATGGCCAATGTCCACAATGTCCCGTAAGTATCGCTCGTTGAGATCTGCTGCCATGATCTTGACCACGAGCCATCGCCGATGAGTCCACTATACCAGCACCTGCCATGGAGCATCGCATCACAGTATAAAGGTTCAAGTTCGGCCCGAAGAATCTTCATATCGACGTAATTCCGCTGTTGCTCTGCTTATGATACCGGGACCGTCTTTCCCACCGTTTGCATATCCCGAAACCCGCAACCGTCAAGCCTGTTTGATTTCCGTACCGCGACATCCTGCCAGGGCAACGCCTTCATACAGCCAATTCCTGTCATCGGCCAGCGCATTTCCACCACTGTAAACATACTCTAGCCAGCTTACTCCCAGCACTCATTATACCTTTCCCAAGACCTCTGTTTCTCTCTACTGTCTATTAAACCAAGACCAGCATTTTGGTGGTTGGCATGCCAACAGCTCCTAACAATGGCATTTTGCATAGCGCAACGAGGCGGACCCATAAGATCCTATAGCGGCGGACACCGCGTCCTTCCGGCTGGTGATTAACAACGGCTAACAACTGGCGCTTTTCCCAGTCGGTTGGAGTCAGGTTGCTGAGGGGATGCCAATCAGGGCGATGGTATCAGCGGCCCGGAAGAATACAGAACGCCTAGCAGGCGCATAGATGTAATCCCGGCTGTACGTGGCAGCAATTCTCACAAGGAAGTCAGAACGGCCGCCGGAACTGATGAAGCCCAAGGGCTGAACCACTCGGGAACCTGGTCGATGCCCGATGCCCAACCACAACCATCTCGGCCACTCAGTGAAGCCATCTCAAGTGCCCAGGCGCCGTTGTGAAAGCAACCCTTCCAGCCACACGGGCACGGCTACCAGTTGCGAGAGTGAGGCGGTTCTTCAGCGAGGCTAGTGAAGGCGTGAATGGACAAAAGTGCCCACAAACCGTGGGGTATCTTCCCTTTCTGGAAACAAGAAAGATGGTTGACTACCGACAGCAATCACTTGAATTCTCTCGTCACCCGTTCAGCATCAGATGCGTCAAGATTTATTGAGTTGCCATGTCATATGCTGCCCCTCATGCGCATCAAGATGACCATGTTATCGCGTTTCCAACACCCCCCATCCAGGCCCATCTAGAGAGCCACCAAGCCCACCAGCTTCCCGACGAGACCAAGCTCGATTGACAGAGCCGCCACCTTGACGCGCTTCTTACGTTCGTAACAATATCATAGCTGACTCAGATTCGAACACAAACTTACAAAGTTTTCAATCCCATCGGTCGAGCTCCGATTTTTTTTAATTTTTTTTTCTTTAGAAAAAAAAGCGGAAAGCCCCTCCGATCGCCTAGAAAATCGCAGCCCTTGTTGTTTCAACAAGGTTAGCCGCCGGCTCAAGCTTGACCTGGTTCAGCCAACTCAATTCCCCTAGCCTCAATGGCGATAGCTTCCATGGGCCGGCACACTGGAGACCTACTGGACACCACCGTATACGGCTTGGCGCAGGTCGCCGATTCTCCGCACTTGGAACCGACTGTTCGCTCTGCAGGCTCTAGTGTCGCAGTACACTAGTGAGGGCCGTGGGGTTCGCCCGTATCGGACCATCACGGCGCTGACTGTGTGTCAACCTCTCATTCGCCGACAATATCGGGCCCCGACCAAGACCACCAACCCGGAAGCAAGAGGTGGGTTGGAGTTGGAGTTAGCAGCGACCACATGCCTTCGGCCCAGCTGCCGGGACGTCAAAATGGCTCTCGATTTCACCTGCCCCCCAAAGAACTCTTGCTTTTTGCACCCGATCTTGCATTTGCTGAACCAGTGGCACGTTGCCGTGATCAGAAATTGAACACGTCCCGGCGTACCGGACGACAACCGACATCGCTGGTGTCCTGCACGCCTTCAGGGGCTTCTTAAACTAAGCTCCTGAGAAAGTTTGGATGCAGATGTACAACGCGTATCACAAAACACTCGAGCAATTTGATGGCCCCATGTTGCCGTTTAGAAAAGAAAAGAAGAAGAGAAAAAAAAAAAAAAAAAAAAAGCAGGCAATCCTTCACGGCCAAGCCTGAGGTGATTGGCGTGGTGCTCTCGCTCGCAAAATCTTTGGATGCCTCTATCCGTCACATGCATCCTTGCCGGATTTTGCATACATACATGCATGGGCATCCCGTTACTGTACACTACTCAATTTGATATGGGGTGGTTATAGGCACGTCTCTGCGGCTCTGCGATTGGACTGCAATCCCGTTGGCATCCATCGTCGCTGCAGCGACGTTCTCAGGTGCTCAGGTCTCTTTCTGATGTCCTCTACGCTCCCTCACCTTGGCGTGAACGTCGATCTCAGCACATGACTTTGGCTCAAGTTGTCCTCAGCAGCAGTGTCCCAGACTTTGAGACTCGCAAAGTCTCTTCAGATTCCCAATTCGCTGTCAAGCCATGCGTGATGATAGCCCTTTGTTTCGGTGAACGGCGTACAACAATGCCTGTAGCTAACCAGTACGGTCACCATTGACAGCGGAAGAGGTAGTGTATTGGGTGCATCGTGGACGTCCAATGATCTCTGATGTTGTACAACTTTTATCACGGTCTTCTGCCCAATCATATCGTGGCGGGACCTCCCTTTTGGGCAACCGAGCAAATAGGTACATGCCGTAGGTACCTTGCGCTTCCTCGCCGAGGTCAAGCTCTGAGTTGAGCATGTTGAACCTGATGTCCACCAATGATAACCTGAGATGTCTTAGACGTAGGTACACCATCTTTGAAGCCATACCTCCCTACAGATTCAGCTCGATGCCCAAGTGAATGGTGAGGAAGAATCCCGGAGCCTTGTCATTGACTCAAGGCAACACAAGGCGTTCATGAAGGCTCAAAATATGATTTCTCCAGGCGTCGGCTTCCGGCTGAGGCATCAATAATCACTGCGTCCCTGCCCTTGCTCAGCGTTTCTTGTTATCAAAGCGGCCAAGTGGTTTGGCGAGGATGTGGCAGAGTATAGGCAATATGCGGAATATCGAGGCAAGTCACCTGTTTGGACCGATCTCCTGCCTATGGTTACCACCTGCCTGCCTAACGTTGGTTTATTGCACCCTTAGGAGTGGGGCTTCCCTGTCCTGACTTGGGGGGACTACCAGAGATTGGGGATCAGATTACACCCTCCTTTGCACAAAAATATCACACTACTCCATGAAGATGCGCTGCTGTGTTTACTGGGCTCTGTCATTTCTGACAGACGAATAGCCGTTGTCGGTGTTGGGTGTGTGTCAGTCAGAGGCGTCTATCACGGACTTTCTGGAGTTTCATTCCTCCTGTTCTGAGGCCTTTTCTGTTTCTTCGGCTGATGCCTCTGCCGGAGACTCAATTGGTACTGGCAATGTGTCCCAAACGCAATTCGGCAGGGAAATAAACTATTGAAACTGCTGTCTTGGAACCCCTCAAGAACCGTCACGAGAACCGTCGCTATGCGAGATGAGTCTCTATACCAGGACTCGAAAGTAGCTGGCTACCTGGACACAGAGGGACAAATGTGTGTTCTTCACTTTCGAGAAGGTTACATTGCGAGTAGAGAACTTTGAACAGGACGCAGGACAAACTACGTCCTCTACAGAAGGGAAGTCCTTCAGATGCTGGTCAGATTCATGGGATACTCTCACTGCCGTACCAATGTCACAACGATGTTCGCCAGAATAAGAAGCGAGTCGCAAGCTTGCATAGAACCGATCTGCGTGGTCTGGGCATCTCGGGACGGCAGAACATGTGCTTTCCCTCACTTGATTCGCATTTGCAAAGATATACTAAACCAACATCGGGAGAGCATCGGGATTTGCGGACGAGTTAAAGACAGTCGGGCGCTGCTCAGTGATGTCGATCCTTCATTACCGTACTGACAATACGTTTCTTGCATCAAGTCTATATATCAAGACGGCATTTGCTGGCTCATGTAACCGGATAATCGGCTGAGAGCGGTTAAGTAATTCAGTCCTGGATATCCGATATAACCCCGATTTGGAGAGATGGATGAGACCGGCTTCCGAGAGCTTCACGATTATTCGTGATCACGATGACTTGCGCTGAAATCCCCTTCGTCTACTTGTCCAGCTTCAACGTACAGAAGAAGTGGAAAGAGTATGCAGCAGCTACAGTCAGACACTTCCTCAAACTGAGCCATACCATTGAACCAGAGCTTCCATCTCTTCGATGCGATGCCTGGCCACTCATTCAACGCCTTCTTGATAACCTTCCCATAACAGCCACACAAGCGATGGAGCGTAGACAAACATGTACAGAATCATGACAAGTGGTGAGATGTGGAAGATCCCATTTGGTCTAGAATTGAAACAATGGAACGTGGCGAGAGGTTAAAAAGCAGGAGGCGAAGTGGGAGATAATCTCACTTAATCCACAAAGTATGTTAACTGCCACAGTCACTGCCCGGTGTCTGCCGTTGAAACACATGCTGCTTCATGGCGATGTGTAAGCAAGGATTGTACACTCGCCATTATCAATTCACGGAAGATCACGTTTCTCTTCACAGCTTCAGACTTGCTGTTCTCAGTCTGCTGCGAAATTTTACTGACTCTTGAGATGGTCTGAAGTGTCAGCAACCTAATGTGAAAAGCAACGGATAACCCGACCAGGAAAATAGAGGTTCAGTTGACAAGGACGGAACATAGTGAAAGCAGCAACTACGAATATATGAAACCCTGAGTGCAACCAACAGCGGAAAGGCACGGGTGAAGACAACTCCTAACCACAGAAGTGACCACCAGCTTTAATGATCCTGCTTGCTGTCGTAGCTCCTCAAAGGTCGGTCATTTTCACAAATGCAGAGGGAAACAACAAGCAGCGTGTGTCACCGCCTCGGCGCTTTGTTTCCTTTTTTTTTTTTTTTTTTTTTTTTTTTTTTTTGGATACTCCCCAAGATAATCCCTCCAGCCATGTCCTCCTGATGATGAGTACATTCTTGTCTTTGGACGCTCTAGTCATCGAAGCCTTTTCTTCTCTGCCTCCTCTTGACTGTGGGCCTAGCAGTAACCCCTCAAATTCGAGTTTTTCCTTCCAATATCATGCTTCTAAATTCCAACGCTAATCCATCTAGCTTTCCTTCCCCTTCCTCCTCAACCCTTCACTTCTTCCTGCCTTGATCCAGTATATTTCACCGAATCATCACTTACAACCCCAATCTCTCCTCACGTTCCCTCAAAGCCTTCTCCCTCTCACTCGTCTCCTTCTCCTGCAACTCAAGCGCCATCTCCTGTGCTTTGAGTCTAAGCTTCTCGAGCTTGCTCCTTTCATCGATTCCCATCAGTTCCATCTGCTTGGCCATCAAGAGGAAGGTGCGGTCACCCATCTTCTCTTCATACTCGTTAAGGAAATCTGCGTGTTCACAGACCACCTTCTCACATTTGGCGAGTTCTTTAGCCGCCTCTTCGGAGAGTAAAGGGTATATCTCGCGAAGATCAACTGCCCGATCGTTGATCCACTTGTCATCTTCAGCGACTTCTTCGGCTTGCGCTTCGGGAAATGAAGAAGATGGGATTGGGGCGGCCCTCTGATGGACTCGGGGGGAAATAAGTGGGAAGTCACTGGGCAGAGCCTGATCATGGTCTGACGGGGCGGTTGAGGCTCGGAGGCGTTCCATGAAGAGCATGTGGTTGGCGTCTTGGATGAGAGCGCCCTCGTGCGACATGACCCAGTAGCAGTCGAGGATTGCCTTGAGGCGGATATGCTGTTTGACGACATTCTGGAGGTCTTGGAATAAGATCTTTTTGTCAGCGTCTGAGAGTTCGTCTCCGGTCTCTTGTCCCTCTGTTGCTTTGTTCTCCGCCTTCTCTTCTGTTTTCTCCTCGGCCTCCTCTTCCGCTCCCTCTCCTGCTGTTTCGGTTGCTCCTTCTTCCTCGCTGTCTTGCTCTTCCAGGCATGTAACCTTCTCACGGTCACTCTCTGGATTGACATGCATCTTGATAATAGACATGTAGTCCTGTACCGCCATCATATGTTCCTGCATCATGGCGCGAACAATCACCTCGAGGCGTGGATACTTCTGTGCATTGACGAAGTAGTCGGTCACCCACTTGGGGTTGCGGCTCCAGAAATCTTGGAGATGTGGGGGTTGAAACATCTTGAGGGTCGGTCGTTCAGGTGCCTTGGACTCTGGCTCTTGTTCTGCTTGGACTTTGCATCTTTCCCGGGAGTCATGTTGCGATGTTGAAGCCTCAGATTGCGATTTCTTCTCTGATTCAGGCTTATCATGTGCTCTGTGGGGTTTGTCTTTACAAGGTCGGTTCTCCTGAACAACATACTCCGTGGCCCATTTGACTAGTTCTTTGAGGTTTTTTCCCCAGGGTGGTTGGCAAGACGGAGGGTTGTTGAGGAGACGCTCAACATCTCTCCGAGCTTCCTGGCGCTTTGTGTCGTCTAGAAGTCTCACGACCTCTGAAAAATCCATACTGATAGTTGTCTTGGATGAATTGGCTTGAAGTTGATGTAAATGATGAGAGGCGCTCGATTGTTGATGTTTGGCTTGGGTTGTATGTGTTTCTCTGATGACGGTAAAAGAACAGATACATACCTACTAGTCTGAGGGCATGCCATGTAAATAGGTTAATTTTCCGGGTACATTTCTCCTTCTTCCATTGAGTTTGCAATAGCTGTCATTGCCCCATGAGATTCGCAAGTTGCACATGCTTATTTGAATGAGCTAGTCGTTTGAGCCCGTGACCAGAGCCTAGAGAAGGATGAAATGTCGTTGAAGCTACAACAAATCACTTGCTACTCGGAGACTGAACTACGCCCTTCGGAGAGTGAATTTTCCTGAGCTTCTATTGCTGTAAACATTCACCAAGAACAAACGGCAACATTGCTAAGGAGAGACAATCGGTGTTTCTTACGAACCCGAGCAATTATTCTTACCCATGTGATGTGAGAGAGGCAGCCTACATGGGCTGCAGTGCAAGGGATACTTGGTCGGATGGATTTGAAGACAAACGGAGGGCGATTCAAGTTTAGCAAATTAAGGACTACATAGAGTTCAAGCCCTTGGTGGTGTGTCATTTGGGTGGTACGAGAGTGGACAGGTTATTTCCCAGCTTTGAGTAATCCTTGGTCCGTTCTCATCCTATTGAGTAGGCATCGAAACCACGATCAGGTATTCACGACAGTTACCGAACTCCTGTGACAAGGCGTGGCAGGAATCCAATGATCTGAATTCAGCGTTGGCGGCGCATAGTCATGGCGGGTTTCGTTTGTAGGTTTCAACTTCCGTTGACAGAGGTAAATACCTACACAGTCGTCTAAAAGCAAGGAGTGGAACCGTCGAGAGTTCGCAACTCTGTGACCCAGTATGGCATGCCAGTTACTTCAATGACTGACAACGACCGAGAAGAGCAAACCGAGTGAGGATCCAAGAGTGATGGGTGAGGCTCCTCTGTGCCATACAAGAAAGGAGTATGTCGCACACATTGTGTATATATAGCCGCAAGGTCAGGTACCTCGGCGAGCTGGTTAAAAATCGTGATCATCGAAGTCACTCTCCATCACCCCTTGGAGCACGAGGTACTTTCGAATAAACCTCTACCTTTTCCCATCCTTCTTTATACTAACAACCCACCGCCCAAGTAGTCAGTGGCGTAGACCAACCTTCAACCCACTTTTATATCCTTGAAACGACGATTCAAGATGCCTCGGCACTCTTCAATTTTCCCCGGCGACACTCCAAGTCTGCAAGAGCTAGAGAGACGATATAGAATCGCCCGGCACGATCTAAGGGAGGAAACTGAACGCCGTGAGCGCCTGGAGAGGTTAATCGAAAGACGCAGCGAGCTCGTCTCGAATTATCTGGAAGAACAGAAGGAAATGGCAAAGACTAGGGCCGACACGCTAAGGCAGAGGAACCCTTCATATGGCTCAGACGAGTGGGTGGAGTTCCACAAAGCTTTGGCTCTCGAAGCATTCATCAAGAGGACGATCAGAGCCTTGGGACCTGCGATGAGGTCACCTCCGCAGTAGGGCTGGCTGGACTTGCCCGCGAGGGTGGAATGGTGATAATAAAAAAGAAGCGTAGTGGTTCTTGGGTTCTTTCGGCGTACCTTTCGAGGCCGTGGTCAAACTTTGTTCCGACTTACATGATGCCAAAGTGATGATGTTTCGTTGTCGTCTTTTGATGTGTGGGCACAGTGACATGAGTGGCCTGTTGGTGCGTTTTGGTGGGTTACGCTAGGTTGGGCTACTTTAATCGCATCAAAGTCAGTTGACTGTTGGCGAATGTGTTGTCCGAGTTTCAGCCAAAGACACGAGAAAAGCTAGAGGATGGGTCGCATTAGGCTCGAGGCCTTATATGGTTCGTTATCTTGGTTGGAAGTCGTGGTGTATGGTTGCATTCACGGCTTGATTTGAGCATGTGTTGAAAAAAGAGTCCAAGATGGAATGTCTATCGTACCGACGGAGTTGAAGTCGGGAGATTTGCGCCATGACGGTTAGGTTGTCCGGGCCGGCACCGGTACGTAACAGCGTGCCATGGCTCGAGTGGGTCCTGGGCTGCGAGACAAAGCCGGGGCTCGGGCAGCCGTTCAGCCCTGCCAAGATCCAGCTCCCGCCGGAGACGCTACCGGGCGTGGCGGGGCTCCTTCAGTATGTAGGCCGGGCAGCCCGGACTCGCTTGTGAATGTGATCGAAAATGCTCTCGAATGGTAGCAAAATGACACTCGAACTCTGAAAGTCAATCAATCCCTTAATACGCTGTCTATAAATCGTCCCCCCCTGTTGTGAAACACCCGTCCCATTATTGCAGTGGATGATGTGCGGGTGGTGCAGCTGGGCGGCCGAGGCAGTTGAGATTCGTGCACGGGCCAGCATAATGCGCTATGTATGGAAATCACTCTACGCTAATTGCTCATCGAGTTAGCGCTGCGGGGCCGCACCTTAACTGCCTTGCCTGCCCCTTGTCTTCTTGATTGTAACAGGACCGGCGCCAGGAAATGGTGGCATGGGCGCAGCAACATAGGTACACTACGTAGAGGATTCGACATGCCCGCATGCCTCAATGTATCCTTCTATCCGTACACCAGAACTCGACCTCTCAAATTCGTGACATGTACACATTCTCTCCGGGCCTGCCTTTCATCCACCCCAACATTTGGCCAAATCCGCGACGCTGACACTTGCCTTGTCGTCGACAGAGACTCTGTTTTCATTGCGCGGCCAACTCCCCGACGATCGCCCCTAAACACATCCACATACGTACGGCTGTTCCGGACTGGTCATTCTGCCGACTGAAACAGAAGAAATCTTGATAGATTCGCCCTAATTCTACACTTAGCAAAGCCCAGCTGCTAGCTTGAACCCACACGTGCTTGCTGTCTTTCTGCCCGAACCCGACAAGCCCACGTTCGGCTTCCCAATCAACACTTGCGACTCGGCACTGCACTTTGTATCAACGCCTACCGCGCCGTCCTCGCTCCAGTCTTTTGCATGTCGCCTCACGACCAGACATCCGTTTCCGAGAGCCAGCTTGGCATCCCCCCAAATGCCCCTACGCATGCCGCCGATTCCGAGCAAGAGGTAGTAGTCGCGTCATTGACGCCCGCGACTGCCTCTGACCCGAGCACAGTGGACCGAGAGGATGCGAACGACACCCACCATGAAGAGACCGACTTGATGTCTTCGGTTGCTACCCTAAAGCCCACCACCTCTCCAACCACAACAACTGCCACGCAGTACCTTACGATTGAATCTCGGACGTACATCGACCCCACTCCACCCACCCCGGCCGTCTCGCAACCTCCTTCTCGAAGCCCCTCTACAGCTCCTCCGCGCTCGAGACGTGGCTCCGGCTCCGACGGCGTATCACCCACTAGGTCGGACGCCGCATACGATGATAAGAAATATGCAAGTGACGACGAGCGTGAGAGCGGGTCCAGGTCCGAGCTGCAGAGCATCATGGAGCAGTTCAGCGAAGGAGGTGGAGGTCCCGGCGCAGAGGAAGTCATGAGCCCCAGGTTAGAGATGGCGTCGCCTTTGCTGGCCAGTCCCGCACAGTATCCGCCCCGCAAATCGAGCCTCGAACCACTTGCTCCCTCCATGGTCCAACAACTCCAGGACTTGCAAGGCTTAAGCTTGTCAAGCACCTCTTCTGCGACGACGCCTTTGAAGGAAAAGGGCAGGGAAGAGCTGGCTCCCCCAGTCCCCCCAAAAGACGACCCATTCCATACCGGTGGCAGTCCATCACAGGCTCACAAACGCCATAGCATTCAGAGCCTGGAAACGCCAATGTCTCCCACGACCTCACTTCATCGCCCTCCTCCTCCCGAGCCAGAGCCCGAGCCGCCGTTACCGTTCGATTTCCATCGCTTCGTCGAACAGCTCCGAAACAAAAAGGCCGATCCTGTTGCAAGATACCTAAAGTCTTTTCTGTTCGAATTCGGCAAGAGGCAATGGATGGTCCATGAGCAGGTCAAAATCATCAGCGACTTCCTCGCATTCATTTCAAACAAAATGGCACAGTGCGAGGTATGGAGGAGCGTGTCAGATGCCGAGTTCGACAATGCCAGGGAAGGAATGGAGAAGCTTGTCATGAACCGGCTCTATACCCAAACCTTCTCTCCCGCAATACCTCCACCACAACCGATCCCCGGCGCCAAAAACAAGGGGCGGCGTGGGGAACGGCCAATGGGACCAGGACGGCGTGGACAGCACCAGGAAGATGTTGAACGGGATGAGGTTCTTTCTCAAAAGATCAACATCTACCACTGGGTAAAAGAGGAACATCTCGATATTCCTCCGGTTAGTGAAAGCGGCAAACGGTTCCTCAAGCTGGCACAACAAGGTGAAAACTATCATGGCTTCTCGATGTGTGGCTATCGCTGACAAAACCGCAGAGCTCCTGAAGATCAAGTCATACCGCGCACCGCGAGACAAGATAATATGTGTCTTGAACTGCTGCAAGGTTATATTTGGTCTTCTTAAGCACTCAAAATCGGACGGGTCGGCGGACTCGTTCATGCCGATGCTCATTTATGTCGTGCTCCAAGCCAACCCGGAACACTTGGTGTCTAATGTCCAATACATCCTCAGATTCCGCAATCAAGACAAGCTCGGCGGAGAAGCCGGCTACTACCTCTCCTCTCTAGTAAGTTACTGGCACGACGCTTTCCGATTCTGACCTACTAACCTTTTCTAGATGGGAGCAATTCAGTTCATTGAGAACATGGATCGAACGACACTCACCATTACGGACGAGGAGTTTGAGAAGAACGTCGAGGCGGCAGTGTCTGCCATTGCGGAAAAGCATAGGGCTGAGTCACCTCCACCTCCAGAGCAGTTTGAGAAGTCAGCCGCCGTGCCAATGCTAAGTGCTGGAGAGTCATCACAAGTCCGCGCCTCACTTGATGTTGGCGGTCCTGCAACACCGCGCCGGTCTAGCTCTTCTAATGAGGCCAGAGAAAGCAGTGAATATGGTGCGAACGAGGAAAAGGCGGCTATAGCAGGACTGCTAAGCACGATCCAGAAGCCTTTGAGCACCATCGGTCGATTCTTCTCTGACGAAGGGGCATCTTCATCAGCAGACCAAGATGTCCCTAGCCCAGCCCACACGCCTCTACCAGAGCAGGAAGCTCGTCGTCAGAGATTATCTGCTGAAGAGGCGGCTGCAAGACAAGCTAGTGCCGAAGCTGCTGAGGCACAACGATTGTTCCGTGCTGAACATGCCAACGTCGTGGAAACACTCGCAGGCATGTTTCCGGATCTTGATCGCGAAGTAATCAGCGATGTGGTGTATCAGAAGGAAGGAAGGTGAGTATTCCTGTCCCTTTTCACATAATTTGAGGAGTTTAGCTCACGCTTTCTCGTAGGGTTGGTTTGGCCGTTGACGCTTGTCTCGCCCTGTCAGCATAATAAAATGGGCAAAGACTTGCAAAGGTGGAAAGTTGGCTTGGCCAAGGCCAGACCAGGAAAAAAAATGGACACCATCCTTTCATGGAGCACTCGACAAGAATGCAGCAGTCGATTATACGCTCGCAATGCGTGTTGGCGCCTTGGAGGGCTCAATGAGTCTTGACATTGAGGTGCTGGGAGTATGGGAACGTACGGTTGGGGGTCATTGAATTAATACAGCCTGAGATACCACTTATCAATACATGATTAGAGACCATTTATTTAAACTTTATGATACCATTGGCTGGTGGTGCCTTTGTTCGCCGTCTGCTACCCTATTGTGTGTTGCGTTCCGTGTTCGGCTCAAACCCAAGGAATTTCCACCCTGGTTATGACTCATTCAGCCATCCACGCTATCTTAAGGCTTGTCCTCAGATAACAATTCAACAACATCTCAAAAGCTGCATGGCGCAGCGGAAGCGCGCCGGGCTCATAACCCGGAGGTCACTCGATCGAAACGAGTTGCAGCTAAAATCTTCTTTTTTTCTTAACTTTTGTCCTTCGGTGTCGAAGGTCTCGCGACCTGTTTTTCTTGTCTCGGGATTTCCTGTTTCCTTTTTCCTTCTTTTTGGTTGTTCTCTTTTGCGTGGCGCTTTCCGCTTCAAATCCTGCATCCATCAAACCACTCACTTCCAGTAACCACATGATCAACAATCTCATGTCCGAGGCCGTCTTCCTGACTCACATTTATGCATCTTGTTGACGCGGTTGAATGCGGCTCGCAAGTTTCAGTCCGCTGACTAAGCACATCATCGCACCTACAACGCACGGACGTCCTGCGCACATTGGCCTACATGCAACCTCGCGTTGCTGGGCTAAATCTCAACTGCACGACAGCTTCTCACCCCTCTTAACCCCTCCATTTTTCTGTGTTGTTCTTTCCCACCATCATCTCCGCCCACAATGTGCGGCATCCACGCCGTCCTCACCCCCCCAGGCGTCACCCACATCGTCTCTTCAGACTTGACTCGCTGTCTCTGCAACCGCGGTCCAGATTACCTCGGCGAGGTTGAAAGGCGCGTCACCTCTTCAACCAACAACGACTCAACGGACTGCTGGACATTAAAGCTCACGTCCACCGTCCTCGCCCTTCGCGGCGATCACGTCGCTAAACAACCGCTCTCCGACTCGGACGCGGACAAAGGCTCCGTGCTCTGCTGGAACGGCGAGGCTTGGCGCATCAATGGTGAACCCGTCAGTGGCAACGATGGAGAGGAGATTTGGCGGATGCTGAGGGGAGTGGAAGCTAGTGCTTCTGTGATTACTACTCCTATTTCGATGCAAGAGGAGAAGGAAAAGCATATCCTGGATGTCTTCCGAGCCATTGAAGGTCCGTTTGCCTTTGTTTACTGGCATGAGGCGGGCCGGAAAGTCTTCTTTGGCAGGGACCGGCTGGGAAGGAGGTCGCTTATGATGAAGAGGGATGAGCGGACTGGAGAGGTGGTGTTATCGAGTGTTGCGGAGGGGTTGAGCGGTGGTGATACCAACGCCAATCCCAACGCCAACGGGTGGAAGGAAGTGGAGGCTGATGGGATTTATGTGCTTGATTGGGGCATGTTGCCTTTGTCAGGCGAGGGTGTAACATCCGCGGTGTTGCAGCCGGTGCGAAGGGATTGGATCGAGGGTGTTGACCCCGCCGAGTTTGTGAGTACCTTGCGTTGCCGTTTGTGACTTTTTCTGTGTTGTTGAATTTCGTATCTTGCGAATACGCGCGGCATGGCTATATCATGGGTAAGGGTGTTGTTCAAACTCACTACTCTCTCTCTGCAGGTTTCCAGCATCGGCACATTCAACAAGTCTCTCCCACCCGCCTCGGGCTACGCGCCCCTGTCAGCAACTTCCCCCTCGGTAGCTGCGCTGAAGCAACAACTTATCGACTCCCTCTCTCTGCGCGTTCTCAACATTCCGCAGCCTCCGAATGCAGACAGAGTAGCACACGACACTCGCGTCGCGGTTCTTTTCTCCGGAGGTTTGGATTGCACTGTCCTTGCGAGACTAGCGCACGAGGTTATGGACCCGGAGCAAGGGATCGATCTCCTGAACGTGGCGTTCGAAAACCCGCGCGTTGTGGCCCAGCTCCGCAAGGATCATGCCAAGAACAACGGCGGCAATGGTGAGGTCGATGTCGACAGCATCGATTTCTACGAGGCCTGTCCCGACAGAGTTACTGGCAGAAAGTCGTTCGCCGAGCTGCAGAGAGTCTGTCCTGGACGGGCCTTCCGGTTTGTAGCTGTAAGTTGTCATTTGTCCCTTTGGTTTCCCGTCCACTATGTTCCATTCGCACCGATCCATCCCTCTCTAACATATCGCTTTCCCATACTCACCAGGTGAACGTCCCCTATACCGAAACCCTTTCCCACCGCCAACAGGTGATCTCCCTCATCTACCCGCACAACACCGAAATGGATCTCTCCATCGGCTACGCCCTCTACTTCGCCGCGCGCGGCCAAGGCGCGTGCACCCACCTAGACGGCTGGGTGGAAGAGGAGTACACCTCCCCGGCCCGCGTCCTTCTGTCCGGCTTGGGAGCCGACGAACTCTTCGGTGGTTATTCCCGCCACCCGTCCGCCTATGAGAGGGCCGGCTATGCCGGTCTTGTTGATGAACTCTTGCTAGACGTGGGTCGTCTGGGCAAGCGGAACCTTGGTCGCGATGATCGGGCCATGTCTCACTGGAGTAAGGAGGTGAGGTTTCCCTTTCTGGATGAGAGGCTAGTAAGGTGGGCCGTGGACACTCCGGCGTGGGAGAAGTGTGACTTTGAGAACGAGGGAGGGGAAGTCGAACCTGGTAAGCGAGTTCTGAGGCTGCTTGCTCTGGAATTGGGTATGGAAGGCGTGGCGAAGGAGAAGAAAAGGGCCGTAAGTTTGACAACTTTTTCTGGGACTCATCGTGATGAAAGAAAAGGTTCTGGCTGACGCCTACAAACACAGATTCAATTCGGCGCAAGAACCGCCAAGATGGAAAGCGGAAGGGTAAAAGGAACCACCCTGATCTCCTAAATAATCACGATCCTAGTCACTGAGTTCAGTTCACCCGCTCGATGGCTTGCTTCCAAATCCGAATCCGAGAATAGTCCAAGACCCCCCCTGGAACCTTGCGGTGATGATTTTTACAGATACTTCCGAGTCACCGGTCCAACCAGATCCGACAACCCTTGCATGTTGCAGGGCTTGCGAATTTGCTGGGCTCCGTGTCGTCGTGGTTTTGGTTTTGTTGCAGGATCGAAGCCCTTCCCGGGGCTCGGCTCGCTTGCCTTTCCTTGCTTGTGCAGTTGTCTTTTTTTTTTGCAATTCTAATTGCTCTCGACAATGATGTACAAAAGGCAGATCTGAGCTTGGTCGAAAGGGGTCTTTGGATGGGTTCGGACTTTGGAAGCATGCACTACAGGCAAGATGGGAGAGAGCTGTTAGTGCAGCGCTCCTCACCTCTGTTTACTCACGTAGTCGAGATAGTATATTCTACTGTATATAATCAATATGACCATTAGAATTATATCTTCACTGCCAAAATTATACGAGCTACGATCGCGAACCCACCCATACGGCCTGCTTCGCTAGGGAGAGAGCATGCAGACAAGACTCCCCTTTTCAAAATAAAGTGGTGAGTGGCTGGTCACAAGCCGACAGCATGCAAATCATCTCACATTATCATGTAATGAAGAAAATCAATATACTCACGGGGGCATATGAAAGAAGGTGACAATGGGCGTAATGTCCGCTCATCGGGTCTGTTTCATATGTCAGCTAGGAGGAACACGCAACTCCAAGTCTGTATATACATATCCTTACAACAACAATCTCGAGGTCCCTTCTGCCGGTGATTTTGGTATCGTTCAAGTCCCGGTTTTGTCTGATATCTCCGTCCGTACCGAACGTCCCAATCTCCTGTGCCGTTGCGAGCGGTTTGAATCCATTTTCCCGATACCCGCTCAACGGCGATCGTCGTGCTTCGGATGGGCCGTCCGCCCAAAGCTCCTTCGACTTTGTGTGATGCCCGTTCAGATCGCCGTTGGACGAAGGCCGCTGGCCGGATCGTGATCTGTCCCTTGGCGTGATTTTTCAAGGACCGTGTACCCCCCGTTCCGCCTTCTTTATAGCAATAAGCTCTCCTGCGACAGATATGTGACTTTGTGGGGACGTCCGAGAAGCCGAGTCGGCGCTGAACATGACCCAAACAATGACAGGAAACTCCGTAAACGCCAAGCATATTTTCCCGGCCCCCGATCAAATCCGAACATGGGTGTAGAATAACCGGAAGCAATACCAGAAGAATAAAACAAATCACCTCCTCCCCGTCAACCCAGGCGCCGCATTGAAGCGCTCCTCGCGCTCGGTCATGAACATGATCTGCACCCAGTACTCCTTGCTATCTGGGTCCCAAAACTCAAACTGCTTATCCTCGCGCTTATCCAACTCGCGCGCCGGGATCTTGAACCCACACGTCTCGTACGGCTCCGCGGCGACCAGGAGGTACTGGTAGTTCCTGTCCGGTTCCTCGACCCTTTGGCTAAAGGCGCTCATGACCTGCCACTTGGGTGTGACGCCCGGGGCGATATCCGGGTACTGCAGCTGGAACAGTAATCCCTGCTGGCGGGTGATGGGGTCGCGCACTTTCGTGATCTTGTATCCGGGGCGACCAATCTTGACCACGTTCTTGCGCACGCCGCCGGCGCCCAGTCCCAAAGCGGCGAAACCCGCGCCGACGACGCCGACGGGGAGACCCGTCTGTGGGTCGACTTCGCCTTTGCCTTCCTTTTGCTCGCGGGCGGCACGGCGAGCGAGGTTTGTTTGATGCTTCTTGCCTTGGGTGTGGGCGAGGTAGGAGCCGTCGTTTTGGTGCACCGTCAAACACAGACGGCATTCGAAGGAGCCGAGATGGTTACGGAAGATGTAAGGGTCCTTGTCGAGATCGATAGTCTCAAGGGCGAGCTTGCGCAGACGCTCGCGACGGTCGGCGTTGGTGGCGGAGTGGGAGGCTACGCCGCCGCCGCCGAATTTGGAGCCCGCGCGGTTCTGGTAATCCATGTTGTTTTCGTTATTGTATCTCTTATTATCAGACTAGATCGTGTGGAATTTGAGGGGGGGGATGTATGTGTGTCGTGTCAGCAATGTGGTCGAGATAAGGCGATGGACCGTGGGTGAGGTTATGGGTTTCGATGATGGATGATATCAGGTGTAATTGATGGGACAGGTGTGGACTCCCCAAGACGCGGCGTGGAAAAGTCTCGACAGGCGTTCAGGCGAAAGAGACTGAGCGTTCTGATTGGTCAGCTGATGGCAGCTGCCAACCTTCAGTGTTAGCGACAATGCAGGAGGTTTGAGTTGACATCGATTAGTACAGAGCAAAGCCATGGCCTGATGAGGCTGTGAATTGCATTTCGGTTGACAAATTGTGATCTAGTTTTCTATTCAACATCTTAAGAGCGCGCATGTCCCTTCCTCACCTCCTCTTGGACTTGATAGAGCTGTTTCGACATGGTGTATAGGGTCATGGCCGCTATCGTTTCCATCACACCACAAGGTCGAACAATTTCATGTAGTAGGAAAGCGTATTTAACTGTATTGTCAATATCTACTTTGGACGACTACTGTCACCCGGAATAACAATTACTACTCTGCATCGTGGGGTTCGTTTCATCGTGGCCGATGCCGCTGAGTTCGTGGGCGCTTGCCGTCTCAATACCGGAATGGCGCTGGAAGGTGTGCTGTAAACCTCGGGAACCGGCGGCTAGACCCCCGGAATTGCGGGGAAGGAACGGCAATGGCTTCCGTTCTTCTCCACCGATCGCCGGTATAGAGTAGCATACATACCTCTAGTACTTGTCATCCTGTCTTGGCTGAAGCTCCCATGGGCCTAGTTACTAGCTTATGACCGTTTGTTTCTCGATGTGTTGTGATAGACTCTGTACAATATGATGCGCCGCAGTTTGTTCAAGGCCATCTGTGCTTCGGCGCTGAGCCGTTCCTTTCCGGCGACAACTCGTCGTTGCTTCGCCAGCTCCCCAGTCCGTTTCGCGGATGGAACACTTCCTCTTGAGGGTTATCGTGTGCTAGACATGACCAGAGTGCTGGCTGGGGTAAGAAGACAACTCACCCTCACACTGGGACGAGCTGACATGCTCTTCCATCCAGCCTTACTGTACACAAATTCTAGGAGATCTTGGGTGAGTCCATCGACCCCAAAGTGCGCGAGCGCCAGCTGAGACCCTTTGAGCGCAGAAGTGATCAAGATCGAGCATCCCGTAAGAGGCGACGATACTCGAGCATGGGGGCCACCGTATGCCAGCTACAAGTCCGGTTCGTCCATGGAGGGACCGGGTGAATCAGCCTATTTTCTGGGAGTCAACCGAAACAAGAAGTCGCTTGCCCTTTCATTCCAAGATCCAGCAGGCGTGGAGATACTGCAGAAGCTGGCGGCCAAGTGTGACATCCTCGTGGAAAACTACATCCCGGGATCGCTCAAGAAGTATGGCTTGGACTACGAGACTCTCCGCCAGATCAACCCAGCACTCATCTACGCATCCATTACCGGCTATGGACAGACTGGGCCGTACTCAAAGCGGGCTGGCTACGATGTTATGGTGGAAGCCGAATTTGGCCTTATGCACATCACCGGTAATAGGGATGGCCCGCCGGTCAAGGTCGGCGTGGCCGTGACGGATCTCACCACCGGATTGTATACGAGCAACAGTATCATGGCGGCCCTGCTTGCCCGTGCCAAAACAGGCAGAGGGCAATGGATTGATGCTTGCTTGAGCGACTGCCAGACGGCCACCCTAGCGAATATCGCAAGCAGCTCCCTGATCAGCGGAAAGAAGGACTCGGGCCGGTGGGGAACGGCCCATCGTAAGTGTCCCCACGTTGATCCCTTCTGTCGGGCAATAGGCCGCTAACAACCATAGCCTCAATTGTTCCGTATAAGGCATTCGAAACCAAGGATGGTGATATCCTCTTTGGCGGAGGAAACGATCGATTATTCGGCATCTTATGCGACGGCCTGGGTCGGCCCGAGTGGAAGGATGACCCAAAGTACAAGATCAACGCGCAGCGGGTAGCGAACCGGGTCGAGCTCGAGGCGGAGATCGAGAAGATTACAAAGACCAAGACGACTCAGGAATGGCTGGACGTCTTTGAGGGTAAAGGGCTGCCTTATGCTGCGATTAACGACATTCTCACCACCCTCACTCACGAGCATACCCTTGCTCGCAACATGGTGGTTGAGGTAGAACATGAAGAGTGTGGGCCCATCAAGATGGTGAACTCGCCTGTCAAGTACTCGGAGACAACTCCCACGATTAGAAGTCCGCCACCTACGCTAGGACAGCATACCGACGAGGTCTTGAGGGATCATGTAGGCTTGAGCGACGAGCAAATACGCCAGCTGAGGGAAAAGGGGGTAGTGAGGTGATGGCTATCGTGGTAGTGTAAGTATAGATGGTGGTTAATAGTTGTCGAGTTTGTTAGTTGTTAGCGCAGCATCACAAAATGAAGTCCCTTCAACATCGTTTCAATTTTGCTTTGCCGTGGGGACGGGTTAGGGTTATATATGCGTCTCACGTGGTCAATGCTGTCGCTACACTGAATGGCAGTGAGCTACAACTGCACTCAATGCCCTTCCGGCTTCCCCGTACTATTCCAGCTCAGGTTCTGAACATCATCCCATTTCGGGAAGCCGCGACGCCTTTCATTCCTTCCAACTTTCGCCTTTTTTTTAGGTTCTCCCACCTATTTCTTTTTCCGTTTTCTTAGATCTTTCGTCTTATGTGCAGTGACTCGCAAACCTCTTTGGTGGAAAGGTTTGTCATGGAGAGTTTTGCAATAACGGCTAGAAGGAAGATTTCATGACATTGTCGACAGAAGCGTAGTTCATAAACAAGGACGATAATATCATTAGTGAGTCTACACATACTCCAGATGTCAGTCGCAATCAACACACTAAAATCGATCGTGTATCACCAAGGTTAAATCATAAGCACCATATAACACACCTACCCATCTTTAAATCCAACCTTCACCACCATGGCAGACCAGACACCAAACGTGGGAAGCCAACAGACGTCCAAGCCGTCAACGCCGAATCTGACTCCCGGCTCGGGGCCTACCATTTCGTCCTCCGCATCAACCTCGTCGGCACGGCCATACGTACCACAGTTTTCGGCTGCTACACAGCTCATTCTTCAGCGTCTGAAGGCCAAGGAGGGAAAGAATGATGGCGGTAGTAGTTTCAGTTCAGTCGTATCATCGAAAACGACGGTGATCACGGGCAGCAGTCATATCAAGGTTGAGCAAGATGCGTTCGAGGACGCGAAGAAGAGGCTTGTGGCGGGCACGGGGATAAAAACCTCGACATCCATGAGCTTAAAAATGCCCCTGGTCCAGCCGAGCATCAAGATGCCAACGCCAGCACCTACGACGACAGTCAAGAAGAACCTTTCTCTGCCAAGCGCGTCGACAGCACCACGTGCTGCTTCAGGTTCAGGTTCGAACTCAACGACCCTTTCACTGCCGCTACCGCCGCCGCCGCCGCCGCCTCCTCCTCCAAAACACAAATCATTAACCTTCAAGAGCGGCACAACGAGTGCCATAAAGAACATCAACAGCGGTCTCACGGCATCAGGCAAAGTCTCGGTAGTCAAACCACCCAAGCCTCCTGCCGCTGCCGCCGCCGCCGCCGCCGAAAGTAAATCCAAAAAGGCGAAGACGTCAACAGGTAACCCAGTCGGGCGTCCCCCCAACACCAGCAAAGCCGGAGCCGCAGCCGCAGAATCCAGCGCTGCCACCACCAACACCACCACTGGTGGTGGTCACAGACGAAAACGCATCAAACAACAACAAGACGCGGACGAATTTAGCAGTCTCTCCAGTCTCTCTGATGTATCCGAGGTCGAAGACGCCGCCGTCACCTCCACCCTCTCAGGCGCTGCTGCCGCCGCCCAAACCTCCCTCCTCACCATGACCAAATCCGGCCGCCAAGTCCTCAAACCCACAACCTACAGCCCCGCGGCCGTCGACGCCGCCAACAAGAAACACCGCAGCACGGCATCAACACACCACTACGGCAAGCGCACAGCCGAGCAAGCCTTGTGCAAGAAATGCACGCGGATGCATAGTCCCGCCCAAAACCCAATGGTGTTCTGCGACGGGTGCAACGAAGGGTGGCACCAGCGGTGTCATGACCCCCGCATCGAAACGGAAGTCATCCGTGATCCGACCAAGGGTTGGGTATGTTCGCTGTGTGTGGCGAAGAGGGAAGGGGGAAACAAGGGTTTGAGTGGTAAGAAGGGGCAGCAGAGACGGGAACTACTAGAGCAGCAACAACAACAACAACAACAACAAGCAAAGGTCGCGACGAGGGAAAGTTGGGCAGATAAACCACCTCAACAAAAACGCGCTTATCTGTCGACGTTGCCGCCGCAGGAGCTGGTGGGATTGATCATGGCTGCGTTGGAGGTGAAGCCTGATTTGCCGATATTTCCTGGTTCTTCTCCTGGTACTACTAGTACATTCAAGGGGTCCAACAACAACAATAACAACAGCAACAGCAATGGAAAGGGACACAAGGGCTCTTCGGGACCGAATGGCAAGAGTCTAAAAGATGTGATTCTCTCCCGAGAAACGAGCCAAGAAAACCAAGGCGGAGAGGAAGGTGATGAAGAAGAGTACGACCCGCTAGTGGCTCTGTGGCCTGAGCCGGGCAAGGGTCTGTACAGCACGCTACCCTTTGACGTGGACGATGATGATTATATGGTGGACAACGGCGACTTTGAGGCTTTCAGTTCGATTGTGTATGATGATAGAGGGAGAAAGGTGCTGGAGAATGGCTTGAGGGTATAGGAAGACTCCGAACGTGTCTCTCGCGGGAATCGGCAGTTCCTCGCCTCAAGAAAGGTACGGGGCGAGACGAGCTAGGTAGGGGAGGGACAGGAGGTCAGATACAGGGTAAATAGCTGGGCTTGGCCTCTGATATCAGCGTTGATTATACTACGTGTCATGTACGATAAGCATGAGCTGAACCCACTGTCCTAGGTTTGCCACTTTGAAAGGACATTTACTTGCTCGCAGTTTCTTGAGCCGTTTGGATCATCATATCATGGATTGTGGGGTTTCCGTGCCCCCGAGAAAATGCAGCGAACTGGCGACAACCCATCTGGTAGCTTTGAGCAGGTGCAAGTTGTATTTCAACGTGGGCAAGCGAATGCTCGATTCGGTTACTAGATATGCAAACATCTCTATCATCACGCCATACGCAACATTCATGTCTCTTGCCGTTTTTATTCTCCCCCGTTGCTCGCTTCAGGGCTTCCCAGTTCCTCGCCCAGAAGATGCAGTCCATACATTATGTTTCTGTACTTATTCAGCCATATATGCGGAATGGAAAATTCGCCTACTATCAGCAAAAGCGTCTCTGCCATCAGATATTTCAACAGCACCGCGAGCTAGCAAAGACGTCAAAGCCAAGTATAAGGGGTACCCAGATACTGCCGCCCCGCAGCACAACCTCTTCTCCCTTTCGCCATCACTATTACGCCCCCTTCCCCCCCAAGAAAACCAATACTCATTATTCAGACAGCGAGAAGACGTAGCGCAATCATCGGAAGTTGTTGTCGAAGCGCTTGAACGTGTATCCAATGAAGGGCAAGCTGAGTTCTGGGCTCTCCTCCTGCTGCGCAGGGGCAGCGGCGCCCCTAGCGGCCTGCTGAGCCTTGAGCAGCGTGGCGTTATCCGTCTGGTCAATCTCGTCCGTAGGGAAGTATGTGGTATCGATGGCGGATGTAAGACGGGGCTCGAAGGGCGCACGGATGCGGCGCAAGCTGTCGAACTCAACGCCGCGGAAGAAGGCGTGGCTCTTGATTTCGTGAGCACCACCACGGCCGAGACGGTTCTCAGTGTTGCAGATGAGGCTATGACAAGTCAATATGGTGAGCGCGTAATTTCGGGGGAAGTCAAAAGCATGCATACCTTCTGATAAGGTTCTCGGCATCTACACCAAGGGTGATGTCATCCGGAAAGTAAAGCGAATGCCTCCAGTTCACGATCTTGCGGTAAGTGTCGTGGCTATCCTCGGCGCAGAAAGGAGGCCAGCCGACCAAGCACTCGAACATGATGGTACCCAAAGACCACCAATCGCAATCAAACGAGTAACCATGGCCAGTGAAGATTTCAGGAGCAATATAATCTGGTGTACCGACGGTCGAGTAGGCCATCAAACGTCTGGAGCGTCTCCAGTCATTGATCTGTGCACGGTTGCTGACCGTCAGGTTGATTTGGTCAATAGCAACCGAGTTGCGGTTGTCGCGCGGCTTGTTGGATTTGCCCTGGAGCAGTTGTGTGTAGTAGTTGTTATCATGGAGCTTGTGGAAGCCGGTAGAGAGACCGAAATCTGTAAGCTTGACATGACCGCCCCTATCAAGAAGGATGTTGTCTGGCTTAATATCTCTGTATTCACAACCATGTCAGTATCTCTTTTCCAGAGCATTGCTTCCGGCGAAGCCTACCTGTGAATGAAGCCCAGCTTATGGACCGCGTCGATAGCCAAGACGATTTCGGCAATGTAGAAACGGGTAATATCCTCCGAGAAGATTTCGTATTTGATCAGCATGGTCATCAAGTCACCACCGGGCAAGAACTCCATGAGCATGTAAAGGAAGTTCGCATCCTGGAAGGTGGTGTAGAGCTTGACAACCCATGGGCTGTCCGACTCGGCCAAGATATCTCTTTCTGCTCGGACGTGGGCAAGCTGGTCCTTCTTGAACATTTCCGTCTTGATGAGCGACTTCATGGCGTAAACCTTGCCGTCAGCCTTCTTCTGCACGAGCTTAACCTCGCCGAAAGCGCCCTTGCCGATGATCTTGATGGTCTGGTAGTTCTCGGGCTTGTCCTTGGTTCTCAGGAAGCGCAAATACTGGCCCTCCTTCCGGCCAGCGGTTGACCAGATCGATTCGCGACGGCGGGCATCGTTGGTCTCACCGAGCTTCTGCTCCATCTCGCTCTGTCTGAAAAGGGTGTCAGTATCGATCACGGCTGGATGTAGGGGCAATAGCGCGTCGCTGCAGCATTCACCTTTGGTTGCGCTCCCTGGCGCGCTTGACGCTGTCCTTGAAGAAGTCAGAGGCCAGCTGTGAGCACTTCTTCTGGTTGTTGTTGGCATTGGGGCCATATTTGTCGGGGTTCCGCTCGGGAGCGGGAGCGAACTCGGTCTGGGTATTCGAAGGCATCGGGGCGCTCAGATAGTTGCCGTAGGTTTGCTGTTGGCCAGAGTTTCCGGATGTGCGAGGGCGTTGAGCGGGAGATGGGCCACGAGAACCGTAGGGAGAGGCTCTTCCGGCGCTGCCAATGTTCTGATGGGCGAACTGGTGGGCGAGACCAGTGTTGGGGTCGTTGCTAGTACCGTCAATGTTAGAATGAGCTTGAACGAAGCCGTAGTCGGCGGCACCGGGGGCGTAGTGGCTGGCATACTGGTTCTGTTGATAGTAGTTGCCGGACTGGGCGTAGGCCTGGTTGTACTGCTGGGAACCACCGGCTTGTTGACCTGGGAAGACGGGTTGGGGGAAGGTGGACGGGGTGGTGGGATAGGTACGATCGTTTGGAGCCATGCGGGTATCGTTGGTGCCCAGGTTGAGATGGGGGCGGTTGTTGTTGTCCATCTTAGTACCTTGTCTCTAAACGGTAAACAGTGGATTCCGGGTGTATGTAGCGGGAAGGGCGCAAGCGAGCTCAGACGAGATTCCGAGGGACGGCAGATGGAGAAAGGATCAGAGTCGAGCTCCCAGACCGATCGATGGGATCTTTGCGCACAGAAAGGGGTTTGTGTACAAGACGGGAGGAAAGGAGGTTGCTTTTTCTTGGGACCAGGGTCCAACGAGGATCGAACGACGGTTGGCTAGATGGTAGGGATGGGAATCGATGGCGGCCAGGCTGGGGGGGCAGGTGGTTGAGTGGCACCGTCCGAAGTGGAAGTGTCCCGCTGGAACGTGCAGTCGATAGGTGAGGTGTGGAAGTGGAAGCAAAGTGGAAGCGTGACGGGACGGAGCCTCTCCAGCCTACAGGAAGGAGTCTGACAGGAGCACTGGCTGGAGGCGATTCAGGGCGCTGTAATTCGGAGGACCTACGGACGACGGACGTATCAGAAGAACGGAAGCAGGTGGGGCAGGGTCCCTGCGGTATCAGTAGTGTATAAATCAAGACCTAGAGGTAACGTGGAACCTACCTAACAGATCCCATCTATAAGTGACCAAGACATACACTGTGATGATATGAGACAGTCACGGGCGCGTTCGAAGGACACCTTGAATAACAACAGACAACTAGCAGCATCTTCACGTTTCTGTTTTCTGTTGCCACAGGACGCTGGCCTCGATGTGAATCCGGTACACGTACACGATGCCCAGGAATAAGGAGGTCGTAGAAAGAGGGGTTCCATGTTTGGGATGACATGCCCAGGTCCAGTGGTGAGCTCCAGGACGAAACAGGACCATCTAACTATGGGGTGCCCTGGTCAACCTGAAAACCCCTGACTCCAACCTCATCGTCGTCAACTGGTTGCTGTCTTTTCCGCACTGCTGTCATCCTCTTTTGCCTCACGAGCACACTAAACCACCAGTCCCCCGAGTGTTGAAGCTCGACGCAACGGCATTGGACCTAGAGAGCATCGAGACTCTGGTCCGGGAATTTATTACTGGCTGGGAGCGGGCACTCCCGGGTCTGCAATTGATCGAAGGGGCATCCCGGTGGAGCTGAAGGTGGGGTGAACACGCTTAGCGCCATTGACACCGCATCTTCCCTGGGTGCTCCTGTTCTTTCAGGGGTTGCAGCGTCTTGGAACAGTTGTGCCCATTGACCACGCAGGAGGTCATCGTGATCGCTGACAGTACATGAAGCCCAAGTCGACACGACCGAGTATACAATTACTGTAGAGACATCCTCTACAATGCTTCAGCAGAGAAGCCAGGGAAAGTAAGAACACGGAACAGATAGCTCGACGTATACAAGCTTATGTACCCTTTGCAGACGCTTTGAGAACCTATAGTTCTGGCTCAAGTAGATGGAACCTGCTTCAATCGGGCTCAAGAGACGGCAGACAAACCCTCCAGGTTATGAGAATGAAGTCCAGAGATGAAGCTATCTTGAAACTCTCAAGACTTCATCTTGGGCTGTTCCAAGTCTGCGTACAAGTAGTCTGCATTTATACTGGCATGACGTGCGGTTGACCTTCGCATATGGCTCGTGCACAACCACTAAACGCGATGAAAGATGCCGGCAGGTGGGTGCCGCCGCGGGAATGCCTTATCGGCTTATCTCGATAAGAAAGTGTGTCCGGGAATGGATTTTGGCAGTCGGGTGCTCCGCTGCACCGGCCCCAAGTCCTCGACGGAGCTCCTACGGAGTCGCTGTCCGTAGTCCGTACAATCATCACGGAATCCCGTCGTCCTCTTCAAGTTGTCTTTCCAACTGTGACGTCTCCCGCGAGAAACGCCCCCCGAGCTCTCCCTACGATACCCCTCGCGCCGTCACAGTAAGCTGCATGCGCCCGTAATTGCGCAAACTCCATCACCACACGACATACATTAGAGGAATAGCATCAGCCGGCGCAACACTTTATACCATGGCCGACCCAGTATCCCCGGCGTCCACTGCGCCGCCTGCCGCTCCGGCTGCAACTACGGCTACAGTATGTTACACTTTGGCTCCTTCGCACTTAATCGTATCTCTGAATATTGTGGCTAACATCACACCTAGCCTCTTCCTCCTCCTCCTCCTCCTCCTCCTCCTCCGAAAGCCCCCAGGCCGCAGAACCAGGCACTTCGCATGCTCGGTCTCCCTAACCTGCCCAACAAGCTCCCCTCCCGAAATTGGATGATCTTCTGGACCGTCTCGGCCTCCATCACAGCTGCAATCATTTACGACCGCCGCGAGAAGAGGCGAAACATTGCGAAATGGAGACACGCCGTCGAGCACCTGGCTGCCGAACCCATCACCGATAAACTCGGCCTTGAACAGCCGCGCAAGCTGACCATCTACCTCTCCGCCCCGCCCGGCGACGGCCTGCGCGTCGCTCAGGATCACTACACAGAATACGTCAAGCCTGTTCTTGCCGCCAGTGGCTTGGACTGGGAGTTTGTGCAGGGCCGCCGGGAAGGCGACGTGCGCGCCGTAGTCGCAGAAAGACTGCGCAAGGTGCGCCGTGGCTGGGAGAACAAAGACGAGCAGGACCCCAACCGCGAGCCTACCAAGGACGAGTTGATAGAGATCTACCGCCAGCAGCGCGGCATCAAGGACTACGAGGGTGTTCGCGGCGATGTTGTCATTGGCCGTCACACATGGAAGGAGTACCTCCGTGGCCTGCACGAGGGTTGGTTAGGGCCGCTGGTCGCGCCCGCTGAGCCTGCGCCGCTCCCTCCCACACCCGCACCCGCTGCGGCTGAAGGTAGCGCATCCACAGAAGACAAGCCCGCGGAGGAGAAGAAGGAGGAGGAAGCCCCGAAGCCCAAGCGCCCACCCCAACCCAAGCCATACAACACAACCTCCGATTACCCGTCCGAGATCCTTCACCCCCTGACGCCACAGGAGCTCACCCCTGCGGTCCCTATCCGTGAGCCTCACATTCTCGGCTTCCTCAACACCCCTACACGCATGGTCCGATTCTTCAACCGCCGCTCCCTCGCCGACGACATCGGCCGCGAAGTCGCCGCTGTGTGCCTGGCAACCCACCGCGAGTTCCAGCAACAAACCAACCCAGACGCGCCGTCTACCGATTCGGTGCAGTATGAGCAGGCGAAGGAGCTCGAGTGGGAGGAGCAGGACTGGCCCAAGAAGGTATGGAAAGAGGATGAGGCCGATGCCGATAAGGAAGTGACGGAAAAGATCCATACCAAGCCCGTGGTCATGGACCCAAGACTTGCGCACCGCATGAGGAGGTTTGCCTTGACGCCCGAGGACGAGGATCGGGTGAGCAAGATTAAAGTGCCTGAGGAGGAGGTCGAGGGCTGGATCAAGGGCTCATTGAGGAAGGCCTGTCGTTGGGGCTACGACAAGGCCTTCAACAAGAAGAAGCTTGTCCCTTTGGAGGATAAGGATGTTGAGTAAGCGAGGTGGTACTGTTGATACAGGAAACTTGTGTCCAACTGGCATCTTATCCTCATGTACAAACAAAAGATATAAAGGAGGTGCATGTTACGATCACAGTTTATGAATAAGCAATGGCGAAGAAAAGCTGGTTGTGGACTAGTTGTTGGGTATATAAAAGGGCTAGGTGTTGGCGGTTGCTATTTAGATGAGATTGGCGATATCTCTGATCTTTCCAGCCCTCTTCCACACAGCATATGATGAGCCTCCTCTTCCAGTAAACTCGTGAATCAAGTAGTTCAACCAAGTCAACTCCTGCCTTGTCTGAAGCCCCGTTTTCATTCTTCATTTCCCTTTACAATGCTCAGTCATCATCCTCATCCGACGATGCATATGAAACAAGTCCACCAGAGGGCTTTTTCGCGGGCGCCGTAGCTGTAGCCATAGCCGTAGCCGTAGTCGTAGCCGTAGCCGTAGCCTTGGCTGGCTCAGAAACCACCGTGTTCCTCCCTTCCTCCTCCTTCTTCTTTTTCCCTTCCTCTCCTCCACTCCTAGCCCTCTTCACCCCCGGCACCAACCTTTTCCCCTCTCCCATCCTCCTCCTCTTCCTCCCTCCACCTCCCGCTCCACTCAAAAACATCAACTCCTCCTCGCCCAACCCATCATCCTCCCCATCCTCCCCATCTCGACCCTCCTGCTCCTCACCACCACCACCACCTTTTTTGCCGCTGCAACTCCCTAAACTTTTGCAACCCCCCTTCCTCCTCTCTTCGTCTCTCTTCCTCCTCCCTCCTCTTCCTCTCCGCCACCCCCTCAAGAAACTCAATCTCGTCGTCGTCCAAAGCGCGGAACTGGTTCTTGATCTTGTTGGCTTCTTCAAAGGCCGCTTGCTTGGCTGCCTTGTTGGCTTGGAGGACTTCGTAAAGGGATTTCTGTTCAGTGGCTGCTGGGCCCCCGCCGCCGCCGCCGCCGATGGTGGGCATGGAAGAAGAAGCAGAAGAGCGTTTCTTGGCTTCGAGTTCGGCTTGTACGGTGAGCCATTCTTGGGACTTTTTGGAGGCGGCGGCTGGCGGGAGAGGGTTTGGGGTGGATGGTGCTGGTGCTGGTGCTGGTGCTGGTGCTGTGGCGGCGGGGGTGGGGGTGGGGGTGGGGGTTATTGTTGATGTTTTTGATGATGAGGTGGTGGTGGTGTTTTGGACATTGGCTGGTGTATTGGTGACGGTTGTTGATGTTGTTAATGATGTCGATGGGGCCGTGGAAGTGGCGGCGGCAGCAGCGGTTGTTGATGAAGATGTGGGAGGCGAGACAGATGAAGACGTGACAGCCGCCGGTGTTGCTACCTCCCCCGTAGAGGGATTGATGACGCCAACGGAAACGAAACGGGAGGACATTTTCCAGTGAACTTTTCAAAGATGGTTCGAAATTGTCTTGTAGACGGAACTGAATGTTTGGGATGTTTGTAATCTCCGCTGTGTCGTCCGGTTGTGAGGTGATTTCAGAATGACTGACATCCAAAGATCACTGGAACTTTCTCGACAATTGAAGAAATTTACGGAACGCACAACGAGTTTGATTGCTGTGATCTTGTGTCGTAGTTACAATGACCAGGTGGTTCATTTCATGATCGAGTCTCAAAACTCGAAACCCTTTTAGCGTTTGGTCGGTATGTCTGCCGGTAGGAAAAGCCACCAATCACAGCAGGGAGAGTGGAGCATTGCGCTGCTGAACATTATTTCGAGTCGACATTCGACAGCTCAACTATCTCAACTTCATACAAGCTCCAAAGCATCTAAGAAAGACTCAAACCCAAGAACAGCATTCGGCACGTCACAGATTGAAACGCATGAAATAGCGGTAATTGGTTCATCGAAAAATTTTTTGTTTTGTTTATTCATCAGAGCATTGTAAAACTGGCAGTAAGAGGTGCCTTCAATGTGCTCGTCATTGCTGTCAGCTCATCATTGCAATGCACTCTACTACTCAATTTCGTCGGCAGATGCTGTCCGATATCATGTTATCCCCGAACTTCTTGAACCATGGTCAAGTCCACTGATATCTCGATCCAGCTGCTGCTGAACGGCGCCGTCAATTGCGAGTTGACACTCACAATGCCCGGTTTTAATCGTCTTTTGCTTCCTCCCATCATCCCATTCTTTTCCACTCCCACATGCCCGCAATGCTCGTAAATCATGAGGGTATTTCGCGGGTAACAAATCCATCCCTGCTGGCACGACGACCAGTTTAACCCTAAACGAACCCGTCTACCGTTTTGAACGTAGTTGCAAGTCTTCCCACTCTACAACCAGATGCCGGTCTTCGAGAAGAAGATG